AGGTTGAGACCAAGGGGGATGTTATGGAGGGTGAATTATTTACTTAAAAGAATATTTCATTGAATTATTTAATACACTAGTGAGGAACATTTAGTATTTTGTATTTTTGATCAAACATCTGAAAAGGATTTTGGATTGATTGGTGGAAATTATGTTGCTTTAGCTGAGGCTTGAAATTACTTTTGAAACCTCTATATTTTATTACAAAATACTTTTTTTCAGTATGCAGGTGACTCAGGCAATCTTGGAAAACCTAAAAAGAAAAGGAAAAGAAGCAGAGTAAGTACTATGATTGTCTTTGTAGAAGTAGGTATATAAGGAACAAGTAATAGGTTTATTCCATGCTGAAAAAAAGAAGAAAGAAAACACAACGTTTCAGCCGTGGAGCCTTCTTCAGGTTTGTGACACCTGAATGATCTTGAGCAACTTTATATGTGCATATTTATTCTGGTTGCAGGTTAATGATGGCGACAATTAATCACACTCTGAGCCTTTGTTCTAGGATAGAGAAAATGAAGCAGGTGAGTGCTTTCTGTTTTCTGTCTGTTGCGTTGAATCTTATTTCAGTGTGCATGCTGGTTATTTGTTTTTGTTTTTTTCCCACTATCTTGTACAGCTACTCTGGATGCTGACAGTGTAATCCGTCAAAGTATGTTTTAAAGCCTGAGGCAGTTGATAAGCAAATTCAGGGATATCTAACAAGATAAGAATCACAATTAATTCAAGTTGAGATGGGTTTACATCTCAGGTTTGTGACTGGTAAATCCCAAACCAATTCAATTTCACAGAGTCTTTTAAAATACAGCCAGCCAGAAACAAGAGGAAGTAGCATATAGCAGGAGAGGAGAAGTGTCTCAATGCTTATGGATCAAATGTTGTCTTTAGCAGCATTGAGGAAGGCTTTCCTATAAGTGCTTAGTTATTTTTTTAAGTTCTCCTCCTTTCCTTTCTACAAATTGCCTACTTTTGGGAGTATTAAAGTGGTTGAAGTTAGGGATCTGAGAAAGATAAATAGGAATCTGTTGTAAATAGTAGATTGTAAGTGCTGCAGTAACTTGTGTAACTGTCATTTGTGTAATAAATGCTAAACTTTTTAAGTTATTGCTTATTTTTCTTCCAACAAATTGTTCATGAAAATGTAACGGAGGCTGTATTCCCTCACCAGTCATTAAGTAAGGGAAATAATGTTGAGAAAGGAAACAAGTGTATTCTTAAGTTAGACTGTTAATTTGTTTTTCATTCCCCCCCCTATTTTCACAGGAATCCAGAGAGACTGAGGAACAACTCTTGGAAATTCAAAAAAAGAGACTTGGTAATTTGTTTTTAAGTGAAGATTTTTATGCTCTTTAGTATATTCAGTTATTTTACCCATTCAAGGGATTATTAAAAGAAGTAGCCTTTCTATTATGTATTATGTTCTATTTATTAATACCCTTTGGGGATTGTATTAATATAAAATATTACAATATTATCAATATAAAGGTATGACATACATTTTCGTGTACTTCATATGAATTGTGCTTTTCCAGCTTTTTCTCTGCTCTCCATAATTGCTGTTTATTAGAGTAATCATTATAGATATAACTTTTTAGTTATACATGTTCTCAGATTTACAGGAAATCAGTGGTGCTTTTTGTAGCCTGCAGTTTTTTGGACAAAAATGCAGGACAAAAATCCAACAATAGTACTTTAAAGTTTAAGTGGAACAAAAACAAGAGAGCAGTGTAGCACAAAAAGGGCTGTGCAGGTTTCATTGATTATTTTGCAAGTTAAACTGGGGTTATACACTTACTGAGTGGCTTGGAGTTTTGAATTTCTGCTTTAATAGCACCAGGGATCTGGATAAGTGTGCTGTGTACATGGAGTTCTCATGCATAGTGTTGCTAGTTCCCTAGGTGCTTTCCTAAGTTAATGCCATCTCCCAGATGCATGCAGGTTAGGTTTGGCAGTGACTAGCTTTTCTAAATAGTCCCTTTCTTGGAAGGGTTCTTATTCCAGTTTTTCCCCCCATATCTTTTGTGTGGCATTAGAAACTGCAATGCCTCAAGATTGTGTTGCAAATTAGTGAGATGTTTTAGTCGTGCTATATATATATATGTTTTTGCTTCTAGAACTCAAGAAACTAAATAATGGGAAAATGAAAGAAATTCAAGAACTAAAGATGATGTGTGACCATCCAGAGAGAGGCAAATACAGCGAGATTTTAAAACAAGGTCAGAAGAACCTGGACAAGTACCTGCAGATGGTTGCAGTTGTTAAGAATGTTTTTCAGGTAAAATGTACTGTTCAGTTCCATCCATTTAATATTTTTAAGGAGATAGTCTTAAATCACAGTGATTTTAAAGTCCAAGACCACATACAAGGTTTGTACCTAGGATTTTTATCACCTGAACCATTATCTCAGGAAGAGAAAACTAAATCCAGTTTATTGACAGCCACTTTATATATAAAATATGTTGTAATGTATTGATTTGTGTATGTATCATACAGATAAAAAATGGTAGCTCACCTTTGTGTTAGTTAAAAAGTAGAAATGTCCTGCGACCAGGATTTCCTAGGTGGAGCTGCAGAACAAGCTGAATTGTTGGCAAAGAAACCGTCTGAATTATTCTACAGACTGCAGCTCCTGTCTTGCTGGGTATCTGCAAGCTTGCAGTGACATCAATAAGCTATGCACTGCTCCTCCAATCAGCACCCCCCCTCCTGAAAGGCGCTGTACAGTTTGCAACAGATCGGAGGATGAATGGCTCTGCCGAAAAAGCATGGTGAAGGAGTGTGTGCACTTCATCCTCTTCTGAATGGGTGCAGGGGTTGGAGCTATAAAACCTGCTCATTTACATTTAGCGATTCATAAATTCTATACATTGATTTGGTTCTGTTTTTAATGGCGAGACTTAAAAATGATATTGTTGCGATAATATTTTTTATTATCTAAGCTATTGTTTATTTGCTCTTTCTATCCTATTAACATATCTGATCACTAATTGTCCAGAACTGAAAAATTAGGATGCGTGTCAGATGACTGGTTTTTCTCTCACTCCTTCAGGGCATTATCATTGCCAGCAAAGTGAACTGGGCTGCAGATTCCAAGCTGAAGGATGTCATTTTGGGAATGGAGGACAACCTAATTGTTGAATGAAGACGTAACGTCTTCAACCACATGTCTATTACATTAAAGACTTTGGTCGGGGGCAGCAACTGTAATCTAAGGTGACACGTAATTTGGACAGTACTGGTGCTTGTGTGACAGCTGTAACTTGTTTATGTGAAAAGAAATTACACCGATGCTAGAAGAATATACAGGTGCCATTTGTCCAGTTGCAGAGGCTAAATATGTAAAAAACCCAAAATTTAACTATGAACTATGAAATGAGTTATCTAAAAAAACAGAATTTTCTGATAATGCATTTCTTACTTCGACCGAATTTTATTAACTTACCTCTACAACTTTACACAAACCATTTTACATGTCATGCTTCTTAGAAACTTAGAGAAAATGTAATGTTTTTTTTTTTTCAGCAAGTATATTCAATATAAGAGGAGTAACTTTATTCATAGTCTGTTCCTCTGCACTATGCAGTGGTGCACAACTCCTGGGAAGAATAGTATCTCTGGGTTCTTTTGTTTTAAACAAGCTCTTGGATAACTGATCTAGTCATGGAAAACTGGACCAGTAAAATAACGTTTAGAAGACGAACACAAAGATAACGAATACTCTCCCAAAATGACTCATCTGCTAAACTTCATTGTTAAAAAATAAATAAATTTGTAAATCACCCTCTGATATTTTTTGTGTTATTTTACAGCAGCAACGGCATGGGTTGCAATAGTAGCATGTATAGGGCAGAAATGTACAGTTCTTAAAATGTCAAAATCTACAGCACATCAGATCATTGAAACTTGTAAGGGAAACAAGTTTATGGTTACAAAAAGAGTTCAGTCTTTTTTCATCTATTTAGGTTTCTAGTGACTAGGGTTAATCATGAACCCCTGTTACTAAAGCGATAGTTGACCAATTATTTTAAGTGGTCAATAATGAAACGTTAAGCAGTGTTTGGTAAATACTTTGAGTTCAGTATAGCTAGTGTAGTTAAAATGTACATGATTACAATTTCTACACTGTTTAGATTTCGTTTATCATTGATGGCAACATCTGTCTTCTGTGATTGGGTAAATTGTATTTTGTTCATCTGAAGAAGGTAAGTGCTATTACGTGTGAATTATGAGAAACTGCACCTCCTGTCGATAGATTTTTGATAGCGAGGATAGTTCATCTCTAGGAGTAAGAATTCTTTACACTGTAGGGAAATTTTGCTGCCCAAGATGAACAGTATGTCTTGTGCTTGTCTCGATTAAATTGGGAACAAATATAGATTAATTCCATGATGAAAAGCATAAGATAACATTTCAGAGGTTTGACCTTCGGGTGTTGAAACGTTTTTCCTTTCACTTTTCAGAGTAAGAATTAACTTGTTCCGTCACTTATTCCTTTACGGTCGACGCGACTGCCCACTCGACCGTCTCAGATTAAACTATAGTTCAAATTGCGATGGGATCTGGGAAAATATTGCTACTTTGTCTCGTGCTTATTTTTTAAAGAAAGAAAAAGTTCATTATGTACGTTTAAAATAAAACGAAACCCCAGTTTTCTGGTCTTAAGTATAAAAATGACACAAACTAACACATCCAAAAAGGTGATTATAAATATCCTAGTAATAACTTCAACAACGCTTCAAGATCTACATCCATACTGCATCTTTAAATATTCGTCTCTTCAGCATCAAAAGTAAGAAACTATGCATTCATCTATATTTTTTGTAAATTCGTAATGCTACACATTTTATGTCCGTTATAGATAAAGTGAAGCTGTTTTTTTCCCTTTACTTTAAATATACTTTCCAATAATTGCAGAAATACAGCGCATATTCATAGCTGGAGTTGGTATCTAGGTCAGTATTGGTTCTTAAAGTGGATCCAGTTGGATCATCCAAGACTGAGTGACGTCAGGGTTACCCAATTACCGCTTTGCTGGTGTTAGAAACGCCCAATCATCGCTTGTGTTCACTGTTTTTAAAGTGGTCTCTCGAAGTAGACTGAATAGACTGGAGTAATCCAGTGCAGCTCAAAGGATAGTTCATTAAACTTGATGATTTAGCGACATTTTTTGTTTGCAACTAATCGTGTCTGTGGAGAGGCAATTTTAAAAATTGCAGAGTTAAAGACTGTAGAAAAAGGGTTTTAGACGAGGTTTCATGGTAGGTAAGGTACTGTAGGTTTTTTGCTCCGTATGTTATGTGACTCGAAACGTATATAAAATCAATCAGAATTTTAAGTTAACACACAATTTTTTGGTTGTACCCTGTGCACCTATGTCTTTTATATACTTTTATTGTTTGCACTGAATGGGAAATCTCATGGTGTTAACATGCACACGCTGTTAAACGTGGATGTTTTACGTTTTATTGAATATCCTCGGCGAAATCGTTAATTGCTATGCAGTGCGCAAGTGTACAAGCACAAACTGTATAACAGTCACAACGTCTCTGTCACTGTAATCGACACACTGAGAGAAAGGCACACAAGAAAAGACAACAGGAGGATTTTAATTTTTTGTTACCATGAAGCAAGAGTAGTAAATTATACGTGTGTTTTAAACTTCAGAAGACGGTATTCCACTGGCCGAAACAACTCTGAACCATAGAAGGCGCTAGGGTTATGATTAACTTAGCCACAGATCCTTTGCATCCTTTGCATACATTTCATTGCCAGCAACTACTGCTGCACGCTGTATTGTTGTGCATTTGATAAATTAACTCTGATTTGATTTGATTAATGTTACGGGATACAAACATTTTATGAGGGGGATACTGAAATCTGCAATACAGTGTACAAGGAGGTGTTGATAATTGTGCTAATACCCCTGAGATTGCATGAGTTGTCTTACTATGAAAACTGAAAAAAAGTTAAGCAGTTGGGCTCCTTCATTGCACACTTTGCATACGTTTATACGCCATTGTTTATTTTTCAGCTCAGCACACTTGAGTTGGCCAATAAACTGAAATGTCACCTCCTCTCAAACCCTCGAAGTCTCCAGAGCTGTACAGCACACCACGGAAGGTTCCCACTGGGCTTTTCAGGGAAAGGAAGAAATTGCGAGTTCTTAACAGCGATGATTCAAAGGAAAATTTTGAAACGCCCATCAAGACCATTATCTTTGACACCCGAACACGCTCAGTGACCCCTTCAGTATTGAAGACACAGGCAAACCTTATGTAAGTATATCTTTGTGTTGTGCCTCTTCATTCCAGAATTGGGGGGGCAGCATGGTGGCACAGTTGTTAGCATTACTGCCTCAGAGTGCTGGGGCCCAGGGTTCAATTCTGGATCTGGAGTGCTATCTACGTGGAGTTTGTACGTTCTCCCCCTTTTGCATGAGTTTTTGCCAGGTGCTCCTGTTTCCCCCCACAGTCCAAAGACAAACATCGGACGGTGGCGGATCTGCGCCTGTGGCTGGAAGGTTGCCAGTTCGTATCCAGCAGCCGGCCGAGGAATCCTACTCTGTTGGGCCCCTGAGCAAGGCCCTTAACCCCAACTGCTCCAGGGGTGCTGCAGAAATGGCTGATCCTGCGCTCTGACCCCAAGCTTCTCTCCCTGTCTGTGTGTCTCATGGAGAGCAAGCTGGTGTATGCGAAAAGACAAATTCCTAATACAGTGAAATTAGGAAAGTAAAGTGATCTTATCTTGGATATACTGGTAACTTCAGGGATGATTGGCCCTGGTGTGGACGTTTGTTTGTGTCTGCGTGTACCCTGTGATGGACAGGTGTCCCATCCAGGGTGTCTCCTGCCTTGTTCTTAGGATCGACTCCAGCTTTCTTTCAACACTGATTTGAATGAAGAGGTTAAAAAATGGTTGGATGTATTGAAGTATTATTGTACTGGGGGGGCATATATAGTCAGTTTATAACACTAGAAACACAAAGTCATGTGTTTTGAAACAGCAAGTGTTTAATAAAGATACTTGGTTCAGGTACACTAAAGAACCCTAAGGGATGAAGTAAGGTATCTAAGAGAAATGGCTAATTAATTAATATTTGTCTAGGGTGATTGCCAAGGAGGTAATTGGTAATATGACTCGGAGTGAGCAAGGATAACGTTCTGTAAGAAACAGTGCAGTATTAGCCTTGAAGAGGTACTGTAGAACTGTTACCGACAGTGGAAGCTTTTTACATAAATCTCCAGGGCCTGATAGTATTCTACCAATTTAAGGAAGCAAGGCATTTTTTTAATTGATCACTAACAAAACTCTTCCAACAGTTACCGAAGACATTGTAATGTCAATTGACTGGAAAATTGCTTATGTAGCACCCATCCATACAAACGATAACAAAGTTGAACCAATTTATTATAAGCCAACATGTCTAACTTCTATACTTCTATTATTTATGGAAATGTTAATTAGGACTATTAGAATGAGGTCATGCTTGGTGAGTAACTTGTTCTTACTCACTTTCAGGATTACCCTCTTCACAGGAAAAATGCTCATTCTTTTAGTGCCTTGTATGTTTAGTTTGTGATTAATTTCATTATTTTTTTAAGGTCCAATGTGGAATCCAGCAACAATTTATCTGGGAAGTCTGTTAGTCCCAGCCTTGCTATGTTGAGAATGACTCCAGGTATGTATATTTGTTATTTACATTTGCAAAAAGTTATATATGGATTAATAATTTGTTCACAATTGTGCTAGAATTAAGCATATAATTATGAATAGTATGTCACTAAAAGCTCACAACCAGAGATATGAAAATACCGTCTGCTTCATTTATAAACAGAACTGTTTGCTGTTAATTGATCAAGAAAAGTTAGGAAAACCTTTTATGTGTCATCCAGTACAAATTGCAGGCAAGAATATTTTTCCCAAATTAAAATGTTTATTTTAAATGTATTTGTTATAATCTAGTAGTTCAGGTAGGTACTATAGCTGCGTCAGTATGCGTAGGCTGCAAGGGAGCAAGTAAAGGTTTATTCCATGCTGAAAAGAGAAGAAAAGAAGCACAACGTTTCGGGTGTGGAGCCTTTTTCGGGTGTGGCACTTTACTTTTTGTGAAGGTCTTTCATTTCCAGTTTCCAGAGATAGTAAAGAAAACATTGTGTCTGTTGAAGGAATTTCCCTGTTCTCTTTAACAGGCCCAAGTCTGCAGGAGAAGCAGAAATTACTTCAGGAGAAACACGAGAAGGCAAAAGAGTCCCTGGACAAGCTGGCTGTTGGGGGAGGAGTATGTATACTTGCAGTTAGATACAGGTTTCATTTTACTTCAGTGTATATGTTTGTTTCCGGAAAATTCTTTTTAACACATTTATTATACAAACGTTACAAGCCACCAGTAATAAAACTGACCGCATTTTCCCTGTTTAAAAATTAATCATAAATCTTTCAGGTAATTTCAGGTAAGGCAGCACTGTAAACTGGACTCGGATCCTCATGTCTTGAAGTTTTGTTGGGTTGATACTGTATATTGCAAGTCACATGCAAAACCAACAACAAATTAATACATTAAATAAGAATACTTGTCAAGGCAGTCAGAATACTGAAAATTGTGTCTGAATATTTATAAATCTATATGTAAATTATCCTTTTACACAGTTGTAATAATAACAATAAGTACGTTTGTAATCATGAAGGCAAGTACCCCTTATGTAGAAAATGGGCACTAAAGTGTAATGCCTCCATACATGGACACCATCTTTAAAATATATTATTATACTCTACATTACTGGTCATTGCTGCTCATTGAGCTCAGGACCTTTCTTCCACTCTTCTTTGATAACGGTATCTTTCCCTCTGTGCACGGGCTACTTAAGTGTTCGGATAAGACCGGTTCTGCTACCTGGCTGCTTTTGATAAGAACTAATCACATTGAAATCATTTTGTGAAGGAGGGTTTAAATGTAACATTTGCTTCTCATGTTGCAGTACCTGATAATTATTCAACCACTGCATGTGTGAGCTACAGAAGGTATATTTGCAGTCTCTAAAATGCAAATTAATTGATTTGTTCATCAGTTCGCACTGCAGCGCTATAGTACAAAGAACATTCAGAAAATGTTAGAGAACTGGTGGTAATGGAAGAGCTAACACCCAGGCTCACCATTCCTTGCCTGCTTCAGGCTTCTGGAAAACCACCTGACCTTTTGTGCTTCTCCACCTGAGTCCTTCTGCAAATGTTTACCCCGTTCTGCAACAAACTGTTGGCAGTGCAGCTTGAATCTGAAAGCCTGGCAACTTATTCTGCACTTAGTCACAAGGTTTGAATTAGGTTGTTTGTTTTCATAGGAGTGCATTCAAGCTACAGATTAAAATGTCAGTCAGAATTCTGGCACTAGATCAGGAATCATCATTGTGTGTTCACACCAAATTTAACTGAACATTGCAAAACAGGTGCTCAAAACAAGTATGGATGCTTTTTTTGCCAGGTTTCAATCATTTCAAACTGGAAACCAAACATTGATCAATTGGCACATTTTTATTACATGAGAATCAAACTGATGTTGTGAAATTGAAGTCTTGTTGGCGCTCAGTCCTTTTAATACTTTGGCCCTACTATGGTATTTAGAGTATTCTGTTTTTTCTGTTTTATGCCTTACCACTTCTTAAAATTTAATTAGCAGTTATTGCCTCTTCCCTAGATTTCAGTTTAGCAAAACATTTATTGCCCTGTAGGTATAGGATGTTTATCATCATTATTTATCATAATTATTTTAAAAATCATAGTTGTGATTAGGGCAGCACAGCGACTCAGTGGTTAACATTTTTGCCTCGCAGTCCTGAAACCCTCGGACCCTGTATGGAGTTTGTATGTTCTTCCTGCGTTTATGTGCATTTTTACAAAGTGCTCTGGTTTTCTTCCACTGTCCAAGCACATAATAGTAGGTTAATTGGCTTTGTATTTGTGTCTCTGTGTGCTCTGCAAAGGACTCCAAAAGCACATCTAAAATTAGGTAATGTTGCAAAAACATAGAGCACCTTGTGTTGAATATCTTTGTTCCATATTGAACATATTCTTGTCACAAATGAAGAAAGTGCTTTCATAGTGTCTTTTGTTGTGTAGGTTAGTCTGTGGCCAGAAATGGACAACATGAGACTGACTGCAGAGGAGGGCTTTGTTCTCTTTATATCTTGTGTGCTGATGATTTTATCAGTCTTTCTTGTGTTCAGATATCTACATGGTAAGTCTATTTTCATTTGTTGAAAAGCCTGCTATTAGCAGATTTATTAAAAGCAGGTTGTTTTCTAAACTGTAATATTGAGAGCCATTTCCTCTTTCTGCAATGAATGCTTGTAATATTATGAAGACAATGAGATTTGATTTGATTTAAAAGAGTGATTGTAAATACCTTTCTACATTTAGGATATATTGACTTGTTAGATGCAACTCAGAGTCCAGAATCCATGTGTGAACAGAGAAAAAAAAAATACTGTTTGCATTTTCATTTATGTGTATCATATAACATATGATATTGTAACATATGACATCATTATACACTATGTATATACCACTGTGCTTGTTCACATTCAATGGAAAGAAGGTATGCAGTGCTTTCTTACAGTAAATATAGGTGTTCAAATCTTACAAAACTACAGCACTGTGATTTACAATGGAAACTCATCCTGTTGCTTGACAAGGTCCCTTGTTGCTGAGCTTGCACAACTATACAGGACAGGTGAAGGACTTTTCTGCAGGACATCCAATTATAAGCATCTCAGAATCTTCCCTCAAGAACTCTGTCCTCACTTGGCACAAAGATTTTTGGAAGCTGCTGGTGAGTACGTTCTGGAGTTTTTTTCTTTCTGTACAAAAGAAGTACATACATTGAATATGTATTCAACAGCAAAAACGGCAACATGGGTTTGACTTTGTACATTGTTTTGGAAAGTGATATATTTATTCCAGAAACCATTACTTAATAATCCTCCTTTTCCAGTTGTTGAAACAGTACACAATGCTGTAAAAAGGCTGCTTATAATAAGAAATATGTCTGCTACAATTGACTAATATTACTATTAAGCAGTCATGGATGAGTTAATTATCCTTGCTGGTCAGGGTTGAACATGATACAAAGTACCTTGCGAAAAAGGAAACTACAGTAAAAAATAGCTCATTTGAAGCATGCTCTAAATGTAAAAATCCGGAAAAGCAAGTTTAAAAACGTGTTTTAAGATGGATTATAAAATTGACAAAGATCCAGACAATAAATGTACATTGGGTAGGGTAAGTAGGGCATTCCACAGCTCTCTCACATAGCTACAGAAGGCCCTGTAACCCCTTCAGTAGGTTTCTGATTTATGGACACTCAATAATCCTGTTTTAAGACTACAGAATATTCCTAAATAACACTTCTCGTATTCTTCTATTCTCCTGCCACAGACAATATATGTGGTAGGACTGAATTTAGTAGAGTTACAAAACATAAACTTACATGTGAAAGACAATTTTCGGATTCAAACAGCAACTCTTTTCCTCATTTCTCCCATGTTTTATATTCAGCAGACAGGCAGCATTCCAGGGAGCATTTACCTATTGTAAGCTATTTTGTGCATGCACCTCCAGCTACTCTGCACCTGTAAATTATATGTATTATGGAAAAATGATAATGGCTTCATAAGGGGTGGGCTTTGATAGCTTTTATTTGTTTGGAGTATTCTCAGTGCTAAGTGAATATCTTTGTATTAAGTAATGGGCCAGTTATTTCAATATGCATTATCTTCCATGTGTAATGCAACTTTTAAGATGTACCTCCTCTGGTTTTGTGCTTCACTTGACGTTTTGGTATAAATCAGTGAATATGATTAAATGCTGGTCTTATACACCCTCTGCTGCCTCCAGGTCTCCACAGACTCCCATAACAGCCAAGGAAGCTATGCAACCAAGCTTCCTCTTTTAATAAAGGGAAACAATCCCAGAGCAGTTCCTTATATCCCTTTTATCTCTTACATGTCAGCAACTGCAATTCTCCACCCTTTCTTGTTTCCAGTGGTCCTGTGAATGATGCTCCTGAATTCAGACTCAATTAGTTGATCACAAATACAGTTAATGCATGACACAATTTTCCACCTATAACTGGGATGCCGTAACTAATATTAGATTAGGCTGGAGTATTTAGGCAAATTAAGAAACATAAAGTTTATACCAAATTATAATATTTTTCTGCCCTGTCTTTATGGCATACATATTTATGGCTGACATATCAAACAGTATTGCAGAAATGAAAGAGGTAATCAGTAATCCTGAAGATATTGACAAAAAGCTGCTGCTTTGGAGAGGATAAATGGGTTTTATTATTTGCTGTACATACTGTATACAACCAATGCTAATGATGCTTACTTGTAATCCAAATGTAAAAGCTACATTATGTTTAGAAATTATTTTCATGATCGATCATTACCTCATTTTAAAATGCACTCTGTTGTGTTGATGTTTGTCTTCCATGTCATTCAGGATGATATCCAGAGGCAGTTTGAGACCCACCTTCTGCAAGCTCATGCCACCTATCTTCTCTATCTCGGCCTGTATTTTGTTGCGATCAGCACTCTGCTTTACTATCTGGCAGATAATGTGATTCAGAAAAGCAGACTGACACCGCGGAGGATAAAGATTTGGTAAGATTCATGACTCGCCTTTCCTCTGAATATAAACTTTAAGACAGTTCTGAAAACGTATTGAGAAAATTGGCCTATCCAGCCTATTTAGGTTTGTGTAAAGTATTGATCCCAGGAATAAATCCAGCTGTTTCTTGAAAGAAGCCAAGGAATTAGCTTCAACAGCATGGATGGGTAACTTGTTTCACACTCCCACCACACTTCATGTTTCCACTTTTGTCGTCTGGTTCGTGTTTCCCTCCTTATTCTGAAGATATTAAATTAATCAGTTCCTTTGAGGATTTTGAAAGTTTGTATCAGGTCTATTCATAGTCTTCTCTGTTCAAGAAATACTACTTTCATTTTGATATTGTTTTTCAAACCAATTTTCTATAACACACAATAAACGTGTAATTGATTCACTTTCTGTAACAATGCACATCATGGAATCCATTTGTCTATGCCTTTGAATTTCTTGATACATAAGAAAACAGACGTTCAGGGTGCGGAAAGGAAAAACATTTCAAAATGGATATGAACACATTCACCTGTAGATCGCAGAAAACTTTGTGACAAGTCAGGACAAACATGATGAGGAAGGATTCTGAGAGGCCTCTGCACTAATTTTGCTGATTACCTTGTCGAAGAATATTGACTGTCAAATAATGATTTTAGCAGTGTGATGTTTAAAGTGATTTTATGTACTGTGCTTAACAGTCAAATTAGAATATACATGTTGAGCCTCACTGCTTTTGTTTAATGTGCATTATGGAAAAAGTTGTACTGTACAGCATTTTAAAAGTGAATTAGTAATCTAAATTTCTAGACAAATGATAGAATACAACAGAAACTTAATTAAAATATTTGAGGTGAATTCTCATTTGCATAGGATTCAACACATCTGAATGGATTAAAGAAAGTTTAAATATTTTCTCATTTTAAAAAGGTTGAAAGGAAGGATCTCTCTCTGTTCAGAAAAGCATTATTCACAAAATAGTGTCAATGCATGTGGCACAGTGCTTAGCGTTGCTGCCTTGCAGAGCTGGTTCAATTCCAGATGTTGGGTTCTATCTGTGTGGACTTTGTATGTTCTCCTTGTGTTCATGTGGGCTTCTTCCAGGTCCTCCAGTTTTCTCCCACAACCCAAAGACATACTGGTAGGTTAATTGGCTTCTGGGAAAACTGGCCCTGGTGTGAGTGTGTATGTGTTTGCGTCTATGTGTGTGTGTGTGATTTGTGATAGACTGGCGCCCATTTCTTGCGGGATAGACTCCGACTCCCCTGCACCACAGTATCGGATACAGGAGTTAGAAAATGGATGGATGGTGTCAGTGCTTAGATGGACTCAAGTCATTCTAATGTCTCTGGTACCGCAGGGTTCTTCTTCTGGTTGCCACGGCATCCTGGACGGTGCTGATGCTGAGCTTACTCCTGTCCTCTCAGCACCTGGAACACTCCATTGAGGTCACTGTACACAGGCTGCAGGAAGAGCTGGTAAGGACTGCCTGTTATTTTATTTATAGTGCACAGATGAGTGAGACATACAGTAGCTGTGTTAGCTGCAGGTGAGTTACTACCCTAAACGGAAGTTTAAGGAGATGCTTGTTAGCATATAATCTGTACTGAAGACACTCAGAAGAGCTCTGAGAGAAACAAAGATAACCTGGTCAAGTTGATGATTGACTGTTTTTTTTGTTTGTTTTGATTAAGGCACTACTCAAGATTATGGAGGCTAAAAACAACTTTAAAAGCAAGCGAAAGTTTTACTCATGGCCTGCTGTTGCTATAAAGTCCTTTTGAATATTTTATTGTCATTTGAGATAGTGTAGAATATTGATATTTACAGTAAGTGGAAATTCTAATGCAGAATAAATGTAGTAAAAAAATCTCACCTTGATATCATTGTAATTTTCTTGTTATTGTATTAAAGGCTCATCTTGCTACAGTAGACTTCGATCTCAAAGCTTATCACAATGTTGCTGCTTACTGGAGAGTTCGATGCCTTCCACCAACTGCCAAGGGGACCCTTAGTGTGTTTGGACTCATTCCAGTGCGGGATTTATTCTTTTATTTGCAGTATTATAGTGTGCCTGTCCTCACTGCTCTTTGTACTCCTGTTCTCAAACTGCTGCTGGCCCTGAAGGAAATCTATTTCAGCCCACAAAAACCCAGACTTGCAAAGAGACTGTAGGATGACTCGGGGAGTAGTATGCAGTACTGTTGATGTGCAATTTGTTTTTACATTATTTTGTTGGCAATATATGTTTTTAATGTATTTTATATAGGTTTTATTTTAAATAAATGTATGTGTTATATTTTCCTTAATGCAAGGAACGGAGTTTAAAATGGAAATAAAAAGGATTTGCATAACACTAAGAAAATATAGGGTAATGAAGAGCATTGTTTTACTTGCTTAGAAGTTTCCGTTTCATGTCACTGTAGATGCCATTTAAGCACCTGTCTTTGTATTATGTTAGGGATGCTGGTAAATATTTTACCTGGAAAGAGACATGTTAAGAAATACCAGGTAGTAATATATGTTTGCAGACCTTAATCTCTCTTCCAAACTTGTTGAGGGATCACACAGCCGTCCTCCCAAAGAATGTTGGGATAAAAAGCTGCTTTGTCTTGCACCATCTTACAAGATTTGACTTTAAAATATCATTATGTACAGCAGGACCGAAATGTCTTCCATCGAACACAAATGTTTGATCTTTGATTGTGAATTCATATACTGTGATTTGGAAGGCACAGTAGAAGCAGGTCTTCTAAAATGTCTGTGGTGCCTATGCAAGATCCAGAAATGAATCCATTTGAGGCCATGTGGAACCACCTGAAATCGGGAAGAATTCTAACAAACCGATCAGTCATGTGAAATGTCTCACAGGATATTTGGTATGCATGGTACTCCCAGGCTTTCACACAATTGCCGTGACATACTGTAATATGGAGAGACAGAAAAAGTAAAAAGTAGACATACAAGTGGGGCTGTGGTTAGCATTTCTGCCACGCAATGCTGGGGCCCTGGGTTCAATTCCCGGGGTGCTATCTAATGTATCTGGAGTTTGTATGTTCTCCCTGTGTTTATTTTGAGTTTCCTCCCACAGTTCAAAGACATAATGGTAGGTTAATTAGCCTCTGGGAAAATTGGTCCTACTGTGAATGTGTGTCTGTGTCTGTACGTGTCCTGTGATTGTCCATGGTGTATCCTGCCTTGCTCCTGTTGCTTACAGGGACAGGTTTAGGGTCTCTCACAACCCTGTGCTGGATAAATCAGTTAATGATACTTGCTGGATACTTTACATTCTTACATTTATATTCTGAAAACAAAATATCTACTGAAATAATGTTTCAGACAGTTATCGTTTTTGTTAAAACATTATCTTTGGTTCACACTTTCAAAACAACAGAGCATTACTTTTTGATTGACCTTCATACAGTACATTTTGAAGAATGCATGATAAACTTTTAATTTTTAATATAATATTTTGCTGCTACCTGAAAGTCTTATGACTTCAATTCAACCACATTGCTGTTTGCAAAGTAGATCACAATTTTTTTACAATTACATTATCTTTTCAGCACATATTCGTTTAAATGAACATGTAGAATTAGAATTGGTTCAGTGTTTTGTTCAAATATTGTATATACTTTATGAAGCCATTCAAGTTTGATACATTTAAGCGTGGTTACATTTTTATGTACTTCAAAAAAAAAATATATATAATTATGACTGATTCCCCTTTTCAGAAAATTATAATGGTATATGATGGCACACCTGTAATATTTGGATAACGTTTTTCATTGTATAATTAAATTTGTAAATCAAACATTTAATTTCCATTCCAAATTTTTAATTAATTTTTAAAATGTACTCACTGAATTCGATGAAAACAATATAAACATCTTGTCATAAAACTTCAAATATTTGTTGTAACTTGCCACACACACATAAGTTTGATCTTTTTTAATACAAAATGTATATAAATTTTAAAATTCTCAATGTTAATGGAATTCAGAGTATTTTAACTTCCAAGTTGGAATGATTATCTTTTTTTCCTGAATAATTTTGAATATTTTTTTTTCCTGTTGTGGTTGTTTCAAAAATATTAAAATATTTGTACCTGTACGTTCCTTTTGTAGTCATTTGTACCTGTACCTGCTTTTGTAGTCGTGTTCTTAAAAAACTTTGTATCAATTTTTCTATGAATCATGTGCAGTGCTTTGATTTGATTTGAAAGGTTTTTCATATTTCAGGAGTGCAGTCTTAGTACTGTCATGAGGAATATTTAAAGACTATTTTAGAGAGTTTGTAAAGAGTTCTTCTCATCGTCTAGACTGGCTGTTCCCCAAAGAACATTGATCACCCAATGAGAGGTAGATGGGACTGAACGCTGACAATGGTGGCAGCATCATCTGACCTTCAACCCAAGAACAAGCCCAGACCGCGATTTCCATGAGTGTACACTTTGGATCTGGGCAGACAGTCCATGTCTATTTTTCCTACATCGGTGATGACAGCCGGCTCTTCGAAGGAAGACTGCAGCCTGGCAATGAGTGCCTGGAGTTCTGTGTTGAGTCTCCTCAGCTCAGCACTCTTCTGCTGGCTGTCACATCTCTCCCGTTCTGCCTGCTTTCTCTCCTCTCGTGCCTCAACCAACATCCCCTCCAGGTTGCATAACCTGGGGGAAAGAAAGGTTAAGCCAAGAAACCTTCAGTTTGAGAAGCCATGTGTTATACTGTACAGATCCAAGGATACTGTGAGTCACATACAGATCTTGCAGTTTTAAATTACCCATGAAGAAGGGGGTAAGGTTTAAAGTTTCAGGATTTTTTTTTTTTTTGTAGCAGGTGCAGTACTCTGGCATTGCAAAAAAAGTAGTTTCTTTATGACTCTTTATACAATACCTCCAACCACACAACTTATGACAATAGTACATTCATCATGCTGATTCACATCTGTCAACAGAAAGAGGTGTACTTGAAGGTTAAAGTTAAATGCTACTAGCATGTGTGGCCACCAAGCCTGAAGTGTTTAAGCAAAGACTATATAATAACTCCGACTACACAACTTCTGACAATAGTACATTCATCATGCTGATTAAAATTTGCCATTAACAGGAGGTCTACTGAAAAGCTACTGTACAGAATAACAGCACGTGTGGTCACTATTTGGAAAATTACAAGCTGCACAGGTGTGACATGCATTGTTCCAGTTTGCAGATGCGGTCCTGTGGGATTTTGTCCCATTTCCCATCATAGGAGCCTGGACAAGCATGTGCCTGTGTCTAGTCTTTGAATCCTAGGTGCCATGCAATGTCCTACCTCCTCTCAGAAATGTTTCATGGAGCTCATGTCTGTCATGTTCTCATCTTACAAGAAAGCTGTTGTAAAACGAGCATTGTGAGGATGTGTTGTCATACTGGTTTGTCAGTATGAGCCTGCAGGAAGGGCAGCAAGTGAGGTCCCTGGGCTTGATTATTGTAATGCCGTTATGTAGCTGGCAGTTGTAGCAAGTACTAAGCCAGCCAAAACCATCAAACGCAGACCCCCACCTGTCTTATTATTGACTCCTGGCCTCCCAGAGAGTGGCCTATCATTGAAGGGCTGTGCTTGGCTCCAATGCTTGGTGAGATATTGCTGTTTCTGAACACCCTACAGGTATAGCATGAGCAGATGTTGAGCAACAGTGGGCTGACCTAATCCAGCCTCCCATATAACTATTTTTCTAAGGTCCTTTCATAATGAGTGGAGTGTATTGTTTCTTTTGTGATTTTCTTTGTGCCAGGCTAGACTTTATTTTCCAGGTTAAGGGAATGATCTCAGAACGTCTCAATAGACATTTTTCTTACTACTCATGTGGGTAAAATACCTAAGCAATTTCAGTGCTATTGTCAATTTGCTGGTTAACATCTCAAGTCTTGATTATATACCATAATCACCCCTTACTAAGACCAAATAGAACAATAACTTTGAATATGTATGGGTATTTTTTCACTGGGCTTTTGCATGTGATGTAGATGTAAAACAAACCTTTTCTCATATTCTTGTCTCAGATACTGCATTTTTCTGCACAGACGTTTGTTTTCCTCTTTCGCCCCTTTGTAGTTTTGCTCATGACACAAAACAACATTTTTTGAAGTCTTGCTTTTCTTAACGGATGTGACTGAAAAATAAAATAGCATAAAATGATGTTAATAAAAGAGTGTGCTTCACATATGAAACCATACCCTGGCTGCTTTTAAGAAATGACTTTATGAAATCCGTAGATCATACTTGCTTCCCAATGGTCTATGGACCAAATTACTTCCCATTTTTGACCATTCTTGTATCTTTTATCTTTGAAACTGTGAGATATAAACTTGCAACAATAATTACAAAACTCCTTTCAACTAGTGTTACACAGAGTGGTGGCTTTGTGGCTGGAGGTTGCTGGTTCAAATCCCATGGCTGGCAGAGGAATCCTACTCTGTTGGGCTCCTGAGCAAAGCCCTTAACCCCAACTGCTTCAGGGGCATTGTACAGTGGCTGACCCTGCACTCTGACCCCAGACTTCTCTCTCCCTGTCTGTGTCTGTGTGTCTCATGGAGAGCAAGCTGGTGTTTGCGAAAAGGCAAATTCCTAATGCAAGAAATTGTATAGGACTAATAAAGTGATCTTATCTTATCATATCTTACCTGGATTGGCTTGTCAGTTATATAGAAAATATACTACTGCGTTTAAAAAAAAAACATCTTTTACATACCGTATTTAATTTTTGTGTATGTCTCAAAAATAGTAGAGAGCTTCTAGCAAAGCATAAGAAAAAAAAAGAAAATTGCCATGTTGTGGAAGTTTGTGTGTTTTCTTTAATTCGTATGAGAGAGAGATTAAAACGAATGATTAAACTAAAGTCTCCTGCATTTTTGTGTCGCAAATATTAAAAAAAATTCAAAAAAATATTTTAAGTGAGGTAGCATAAGAACCTTTACACACTAGAAGCCATTCAGCTCAAGTAACCCAATGGGTAGTTAGTACTGTAGCTAACTGGCATAAGGTTCTCATACAGTCACTTTCTTGAAAGAAGCTTGGGTGTCTGCTTCAACAACATGGATGGGTACTCTGTTCCATACTCCCGCAACTTCTAAGAAATAAAATGCGTGCAAAAAATAAATCAGAAAAATGTTTCTATTTTCCTTTTATTTTTTTTAAACCTGTTTCAGTTAAGATATGTACAATTTCATGCGGTAAATAGACTTCCTTATTTCTAAAACAGACAGCAACATCTAATAGTTAATTCAACTGTAAAAAGGAGTAAACAAGTAGTGTTGTTCATGCTTGAATTTGTATTTATTACCTGTAGCATGCAGTTTCGCTCTGACTGCAGCCTGAAGTGTTTGCACAAGCTGCCAGCACCCCATTTCCCCAAGCACAGCACAGAATGAGTCAAAAACTGGAATGTCAGCATTCTGGATTATCTCAAGGAGCTCCTGAGAGTTTTCAAGATGGTTTAAGCGTAAGTGGAAAACAAGAAGTTTCCATGATTCATTTTATAATAACTCTGACCACACAAATGAAAAATGAAATGGTCAAATGTATGACGAGGTTCTACTCTACTCTGTTTAAAGTTCATACAATTTTATTTGCACATTTAAAATGGTACTTGACAGTTTGGGGCTGAAATCAACACAAAATTATAAAATACTTTGCTCCAGGATACTGACTATTTATCTTGCAATAAACTGGAAAATGGTGAAACAAATAGAATAGAAAATATGTTTTTTTTTTATTCACTGCTGCCCTACATTAAAGTAGTGTCTTTAATAAAATAGCTATTTAGTGCCTTTAATTTATTCTTCTTCAATTGAAGGAGCAGCTTTTACAAAGTGAAAAAGTACATTGGAACTTCTGATAACATGGTCTTGAAGGCAAAGGTGTATCTAGAATTCTGGTATTTATATACACAGTATATAATTCAAAGAGTATAGATATTATAAACAAATGTATTATTATATATACAAACAATATACTTTATGGCCTCTACTCTAATGTACTGCATATGTAAGAAATGTTCATATTTTAGTTTTTGTGCTGTATTTCAGTGAGAAACAAGCCATGAAGCAGAGTGTTTGGCACATGAGCTCACAACTGAGTGAAACTGGTGAAATTAAAAGCCAGACAAGTACTAACATGACCAGTCTTCAAATTTGTAAGCAGGGGTACAAGCATGTTGGAGAAGTGGTGTACGTTACAGTAAAAGTGCATAAATCTATTAAAATAGCTTCATTTTTCTAATATAAACCTCTTATAAACATAACTATCTAATCATAAAGGCTATTTTTTGAAACAACAATAAATCATATAAGCAATTTTTGCAATACAACCTATTATATAAATGAATATGTTTTATTGAAGTTGGTATTCTATGCTATTATTATATTATGGTTATATAGAATTGTGAAATGACAGGAATTCTGGGGATTAAAATAAAATATAGTGAAGAAAAAACGTTTCTTTTGAGCAGGTTAATCTACAAAGTGCTCAGAACCACTAATGGTTCAACATTCACCCTTTTCAGCTTAATCAGGGATTTTTGCTTCTGATTATGCCCTATGTTCTTTGACTAGAACAATTCTTTACTGTGGTTATTGTGGACTGCTACACCAAATTAGCTCTGCCAAGGCTGTAAACAATATTTCTCTGTCACCGGACCTTCACTTTTTTAACTGGAATAACTGAAATATTTGCAAACCTTAATCTTCCTGATTTGTTCTGTTGTCAGAACTCCTCTGTCTCTGAGTCTTCTGTAAGAGAGATTCACCTGTGACTGCTGCCTGACAATCTCAGGAAGGACAGACTGGGGGTCTCTCGAGTGAGGCTGTCTAGTTGTGGAATCTGCACTGTTTCCCACTGAGAACAAAATACAAAACAGGGGAAGAAATGTTTTCCTCCATCAGATTAAAAATAACCTGCTTCAGCCTCTTAACCTTGCCTGTAGTACTGTAGTACTGTAGTACTAGTTTAATCTGTTCTCCCAAGATCCTTGTCAAGGTTTCTTGCTAGGGTCTATTGAACAAGCACTCATTTTTATCTTTTGGTCACTTGTTCCACTGACCCCAGCTCACTGCTTAAAGAAATGTCACTTTCCCTTAGCTCTAAATTTCAATTGATCTCTCTCAAGGTTTTGACTTTGGGGGTGGGCCTCTGTGGTGAGTTTTTTTGAAAGGCTAGGATGAATTTTCTCAGTTACCTTTATATGTTTTTTGTATATACTAAAACCTATAAAGGTAATTGAGGGAAGGTTTACTCCCATGTCCCCACTTTCTCTTTAGGTAGTTTTTCATACTGTGGTGTCATAACAAACATGGCTCTAGAGGCTAGAGCTTCTCAGACCATCTCTGAGGCTCTATTCAAATTCTCATGCACATTTTCCTCCATATTGCCCATCCCATCCATCTATCCTCTTTGTTAGTGTTTCATCTGACTCAGGGCTGTGGGGGAGCCAGCAAGCAACAGGCACAAAGCAGGATACACGCTGGACAGTACACCATTGCATCACAGGATGGGGACACACAGACACCTGGCCTAATTTTTACCCATCTCATCTCACTCAAACTCTTTCTCTCCTCACATTTTCCTGAAGATTACATTGCTAAATAACTGTAAAATTGTAGTTCAATGTTTTATATAATTCATTTTAATAATGTAAAACTTGTTTTTTGTCACGTTTATTGTTATTTGTTGTATTTATATGGATTTGCACGATGTATTAGGCATACCCTTGGTGTGTATAATCATTTTAATATTAAAAAATAATAAACTTTATTTTATATAGCACCTAAAGGTGGCTTCTCAAAGTGCTTTACAGAATTAATACGCAACCAGTTCTTGTTCTTTCTCCACTGTAAGTGCAGCCTGGCAGACACAGACAGCTAATTTTCTAACACAACCGGTGTTAGAAATGTATTCTTTTCACTCATGTTGTTCAAGTGGTGGATTGACCTTAACCATCTAAACCCAGCTGAACTCTTGTGGAATGACCTGGGTTGTAGTGTTTGACAGCATTTCCAACCACAGAGCATTACGTGTTACAGATCTGGTAACTTTGTTGGACAACTTACTGTATGTCAAGGCACAAGGTAGATGCACTCAATTGGGAGGCACTAAAGGTTAATCGTGTGTGTTAACTGTGGGTATTTTCTAAGTTTATTCCATTAATAAACTGAATCAAGCAATATATGTTGCCACGCAAGTCTTCATGGAGTCATAAAATGATTGTATGGAATTGCAATTTTGTTGCTTGTCAGCTTCATCTTGTGCTTTTGTTTATTTCTATGATGAACTGGATAGAAGAAAATGAAATCATTTTTGCTGCAAAGCTGAAGAACATTAAATGGTTGGTTCCAACATTGAGAAATATATAATTGCCTGGTGAGACTTAGTTTATAATCTCACCATCATTTTAAATTTGGGATCTTTAAGTACACAAAAGACAAAAAAACAGCTTCTTTGCCAATTCTCAAGAAGAAAAGCTGGAATAATATTTTGTAACTACATAAGGAACATTTTTAATTTCCTTGCACAGATGTGCACATATACTTTTTTTCAGGAATGTTTTTTTTGTCTATTTGAGTGTTCTATATGCTTAGTTATGATAGGAATTGTTCACAGACTTTATTTGCTGCTTCCTTTAATGACTGGGTCCCAGTTGTAAAACACATTTTGAATCTGACTATCCAGTGAAGTAAAGGTTATTAAACTAGTAATTATAGTGTATTTAGATCGTATTTTTTCCTCTTAACTCATGGATAATAGTACTGGATTTTACTATCTTAAAAATTGATATATTTGCAAGTAATTGAATATCTTTATTGTTTTTCTTTAAACAACTGATGTCTTTATGCTAGAATACAGAAATCTATATCCCCTTTGTCCTTGCTACCAGCAATTTATTGCAGTGTGAAAATACAAAAAATTGACAGACTGTAAGAGAGTTTTAAATTAGATTTACTTAATCAAATATAGGAGCTCAATCTCCAATAAGCTGAATACTTACAAAAAGATGGCTTGTCAAGGAAGGTTACTTTCTTTCTGGATTCCCTCAGCATTCCTAAAGATTGTGTTTATCATCAACTTCTTTTTACTTCTTTTTATTTACTTTTTCATACAATCAAAAATATGTTGATTTGCACACAATTGAACACTCTTCCAGTCTTAAGGACGTTTTGTCAGTTCAGTCTTTCCAAGTGGCACTTAAACATGGAAGTCTTAGAATGCATTTTCTCCTTTCACTGTTTCACTTTGTTGCTAGGTGAAAAGCACCTGATCTGTGCTGTGGTTTCTTAGTATTTGCATTTTGTAGTCCATAAACAAAGGCCGGGAGCTAATCGTAAAGGTTGCCCAATGCCACTCTTTGCAATTCAACTGTACACAGCCTCTAACAACAAACTTTATTTTCCAGTTTGTTGGGTATTTCAGGAGACTTAAGAATGTTACTGGTACAACCAAATTTTGGACCTGAATCCCCATTCTTCCAATGGGTAAGACAGTCATGATGCAGAAGCTGTCTCTAGATTTCATCCTATTCTATACTGACTGGCAAAATGACAGGCAATCCCTCCACAGGTTGTGTAACATGGATTCTGTCACACTTGCTGCCTAGTATGACACCTTTCTTCTTACTGAATCCCCTCCATTTGTGGATATTGTAAATACTGCCCATGCCATCAGAATGCCTCCTGTGTCATGTAACATACAGTAACCGTTTGACAAAATGGATTCAAGACAAAATGGATCAGTCGCTAAGTCCACTATAAATCCATACAGAACAATCTGCAACATGATATGATAGACCACATAACTTATTTTTTAGTTATGGCATTCTCTGCATCACTGGAGCTGTTGTGCCCTGTTGCTTCCTTTGAGATACTTGAGCGCTGTCCTGTCCTCTGTCGGGCTCTGTCATTGGGTTACTGCTCTGAGAGTCTCAATGTGCTTTTTGCACGTTCTCTCCTGTTTGTGCTGATCCAGCAGTCTGGCTGAAACCGCCCGACCCTTCGATTCCGACTCTGGGCCAGGACCTGAACTCAAACCTGAATTTCCTAACGAATTCAGCATGCTGCACATCCGTTGACAAACTGTAAAGCACACACTCCTCTCTGCTCTGTTTGTCAGCTCAATGCATCTTCTGCCTCGTCTCACTGCTTGCTGTCACCTGGACCTATAGACTGGATTCATCTACCCGTCTCACAGCTGTGGAATTCACAGGTCAGCGCTGCGTCGTAACAAGATCTTTATCACTGCGGCTAATTGATTCGTTTAATTCACGTTGCTTTTATGAGACTTTTTAACTTCCTCTATTTTTAGAATTTTTCAGTCAGCAGTTTCAAAATTATTCTACTAAAGGTAAATAGGATTTTTTTTTGTTTGATGTTTGGTGACCTTTCTCCACATGATTCAGTTAAAGTTGGTAGGGTCATTAACTGCTATGAGTTGTTGTTTGTTACTTATACTACTCAGTATCCTCTGAAATATGCAGTTTTTTTCATAAGTTGCCAGCTTGATGACAAATTAAATGTTCTAATTGGGTCTTTACCTGAAGCCCCACAATCTTATATTTTCTTTATGTTGTTTAGTATGTGCCTGAAATAACTTGCTAAACATTATATAATTTTTTACAATATGGCGGATTGTTTAGAATTGTTTAGTTTTACTTTCATTAATATTTCCAATCCAGTTAGGAAAAGTTGGGTAAAGTTTTAAAAATGAAAATAATCAGTGACAATTTAGCAAATTAACAGGCCTGGAAATTGGATTATTTAATGTTATAGTTATTTTGTAAAAAGAACCTGCTGCTATTTCTAAAGCTCAGGAAAATATGTGTATTTTGTTGATTGTCTTTTTCATTTAATACTTTATTAAATTAATACAATAAAAAAACTTGCATACTTTCTTTTCACCACAGTTCAATGTTTTTTTATATTACATTTAGCTTAAACTATTCTGAAAGGCATTGCAAATATAAAAATTGAGTATTTGAACCAATAGCATTTGTTGCATTTCTGATGCTTCTCAGTATATAATTCAATTCCAGTTTATCAATTACACAACTTAAAGTTCCTAGGAATTTGCATTGGGTTACTTTATATTCTTATTTACTAATGTACTTTGTAGCTTAAAGTTACAATTGAATGTCAATTTCCTAATGTCCTACACCTCCAAATGGTTTCCATGCATTTCAATGCATAGTACTTTAAAAACAACTGTATTTCCAAATAAACAGAGATCATTTACATTTATCTGGCTTTATTTAAGTTGGGAAAATTAGATACATTCATTAATAACGTCCATTAATATTCCAATAAATGCAATATACAATATAATGTATCTTGCTACAGTTTCAATTCTATATATGTGAAAAAGAAGCTGGGTATTGTTTGAGACACGATTGATCAGAGATTACAACAATTTACAAGGTCTAATGGTAATTCAAAATAATAAAGCAAGGAGCAATTTACTACATTCTGAATGTTTGTAGTTTAATGGTTGGAACTGATATAGTTGATACATTTTTCAAAAATCAGAAATTCTGATCAGAAGTCTAGCTTGACCTTATGGCAGATACAGTGAACTACATACAGTATACAGATATGATCAAGCATTACAGATGAGCTTTTTAACATATACAGTAATATGTATATTTTAAACATATACACATATTCTGTATTAGAATACAGAGAATGACAGAAAATCTCAAACTCAGAAAGCCATTCAGAAGATGCCGCAAGGGAATATCCTTGTTTTTTGTGGAATTAAATTTTTCCTAAATATAAATATAACATTTTCCCTTCTCCTCCCCTCCCTTCTCTCTGTCTCTGGGGGTATACCCTAGTGACAAAGCCCATCAAACTTTCACTGCATGTGGGAGGTGGGAGGAAACTGCAGCACCCAGAGAATCCTGATGTGGATGCAGACAGAACATGTGAACTTCACACATAAATGCTGCCCCAGTATTGAATCAAATTGAGATCCCAAATGCTATGAGCAACTCTAACTGTCCAGAAGCACTAGCAGAATGCAATTAATGTATCTGATCAAATGGAAAAATGAGAAATTACTTAAACAGTTGATTAAAGGGAAATTTAATTAGGGAGACTGGATTGTCCAGTGAGGAATTCAGCCAGAATGCTGCAGGATACCCACCTATGCTAAAGCCAACAATGTAGTTCAAGTAGGGAGCTGCGTCAGCATGTGTAGGCTGCAAAGGAACAAGTAATAGGTTTATTCCTTGAAGAAAAGAAACAATGTTTTGTTGTTGTTTCCCCACACCTGAAGAAGGCTCCACAGCCAAAACATTGTGTTTCTTTTCTTCTCGTTTCTGCAGGGATTAAACTTTTACTTTTTCCTCTAAAGTTGACAATTTCATTGGATATTAAATGAACAAGTAGTCGGGCCCTCAGTTTAATGTGTCATCTGAATGACTGGTCTGGTTTTAGAAATTCAGGTTGAGAGGGGAGAATGTCACCCTTTGGTCTGCTAGCACCCCTTCCAGCAGCAGTCTGGTGTTCTGCATTCGCCAGAGTGATCCCTCACTTTGGGAAACACTCCTGTTTCGAAATGCAGGTGGCTACCCTGAACCTCACACACCAGCTCCTCTGTGCTGGATGTGATGTGTGGTTGTGTGATTTTTCACTTCCAAAAAAAAGTCCTCATATCAGATTCTGCAAGGTTAGAGATTCTACAGCAGTCAAAGCAGCTCTGACAGAACAGACCGCCTAACTGGAATATTAAACACCTAAAAGATTTGAAAAAAAAAATAGTAGAACACACAGTGTTCTACTATGTAGTTGTTTTCTCATATTAGATAATAGCTGGTGTTGATCGTGCAATAGTCCAGATAACGGCATCAGCTACATAAAGGCAGTACAGCACTAGTGTACCTGACGTTGCTGTTAAAAAGCATTTTCTGTAGATATACATGACAGCATGTGTATTTCAACACTGCGAAAACGTAACCTGAAAACAAAACCCCAAATACAACACATTTCTAATACAAAATGAAATTTGGAAAATCAAGTTAAAAATGCCTTTTAAATGTGCAAGAAAAATACATTGTCATTTTCTCGAAGGTTGCAAATATGTTGAATTGGCACATTTTTCCTGCCCTTCATGACACATTAGCCTACAGTGGTGTCTTACAATTGAGTCAATATTCATGCAGACTCCACTGTGCCATTTGTGTTTAACACTCTTCACCCATTTCAGAAGGAACACCTTTCCTGCTCTGAAGTGAACATACAGTATCTTCATTATTACACGTAGAAAAATAAGCACAGTATGTACATTGTGGAAGATGGAAATTCTGAATCTGTTTCATGTCACATTTTCTTTACCTAGAGGAAACAGTGCCTTGCAGAGTGTGAACCCATACGACAGACAGCAGTGCAGAGTGGTACCAGTCAGTGGGAATCCAAAGAACAGGTGGGCGAGTTTCTTGATGCTGAAGAAAAGATGGTGTGTGTAGGTCTTTTTTTTAACTACCCCTGCTTCAGATGCCTTTTCATAATTTTCTCACAGTTTCCTTTCCCTGCTTTTCTTTTCTTGAGCCACTCCATCACCGATGTGTCCCCAGGGCTTGCACATAATTTCCTGCTTTTGATGTGCAATCTGTTGCAGGCAAAAATAGATTGAACTTAAAATCAATACAGGGTTTCTATTAAAATCATTTTAGTAGAAAAAAAATCAAAAGACATTTTTAAATGTGACATTTACAACTCATTACAAACATGACAACATTCTAATTCATTTGAGACCTCAGGAGAACGAGGATTCTTTTTATTTTTTCATTTTCCTTGCCTTTTGGATGTTTTGGGATGCATGGAAGTTTGATTGGAGAGGATTTTTAAATATTGTAAAATAACTTATTTTATCTATACTCTGTATTCTGAGGCAGCTCGTGAAAGCCAGCAACACATTTCTCAAGAAGCAACACGTGGCTTGTTACTAGTTGTAACAGCAGTTTGTAATGCGAGCAACCTTAACTCAGAACCTACAGACTCTTCTTAACCCAAGTGTAGAATCAGATCAGAGACATTATTGTGAAGTGAAAGCAATTCAGGCAAACATGAATACATTGAGTAGAAAAGGCTTATACTGTACATTCATTTTCATTTTTAAGCAGCAGAAGAGAAATAAACTTTTAGAGAACTCAGTACTTACATCACAGCATCAATGTCACATATTCCATCGCTGACTTGACAGTCAAATTTTTTAGCTCTGGGGAGCAGCTTTCGGGAAATCTTTGATGCTGTCTCTGAACAGCAGCTCTGTATGTAACCTGAAATACACAGTAGTATATTCCTGCTTGTATCACAATATCTATGGCATTACCTAAACTGTGGATTCAAAGTCAAATCTGTATACAATCTTTGAAATCTTTTGCAGGGTTTCTCTGTGATTACAAATATTTGTGATAATTGTATATTCATTGACAACTTAAGTGTCAGCAGTAATTGGTGATATCATTCGTTTTTCACAAAGACCCTTTTTATGTTTGCAGTAGTCACTTCATCTGTTGTACCCTTTATTTCAAAGGCTGTAGAACGTTAAATAGCAGAATAATAAAATCTTTTACTTGCTTGGCAAAACATTTCAGTTTCACTCACTCTAATACTGTGTTTGTATGGTATCTGAGACTTCTGAAAATTAGTAGTAATCGACAAATCATTTTTTTCCTAACTGTGTTATTTGTGTCCAGTATAGGTATAGAGTGGGGTACAAAAGTGCAATAACTTTGCAAGTAAATGTAAAGCTTATGTAGGGAGTATTTGCTATATTCATGTAGTAGTTGGCTGTCTGGTATTTGGAGCTGGCAGGGTATGTGCTTTTTTGTAGAATGTGGAGATTTTAAGTGAACATGTTCTCTTAACCACACTACGGTTGAAGCACAGATGTAGTTTGATGGTACAGTAAATGATAAAACCTTTTAATAAGTGAAAAGACTTAAAATTAAGGAGCAAAATATGAGTCAAAAGCAAAAACACATCAGTGACAGACAATAAGATAAACTAAGGAAAACTAGGAATAACAAACTGAAGAGACTGCATTTACAGAGGATCAGTTACTTTTTAACCTATTTTATTTTTCAATCTCGTCAAAATGAAAAATACTAATTTTACAACGATTATTATTGTTATTGATTGGCTTATCAAACACCCTTATTCATAGTGATTTACAAATTAGGCAACTATGTAAAAGTAAATGCAAAAATAAACAATAACTGAGCAAAAGAAATGAAATACTGAATCCAACCAGGTAAATAATGCTCATATTGGAGCAATACACTTAGTTATAGATGACTGTTTGAACAAAGTTTTACTCTAAATTCTTTCTGTTTCCAAATCCATGGAACCAGCAGGCCAAATGTGCTGCCTGTCAAGGTCAAAAGGTCAAAACTGGTCAGAGAATGGCAGTATGTCTGTCACTGCGTGTCCTTGCTCGATATTCAGGTAAGAGATTGTCAATTTCAAGATTAAAGATCATGGGTCCCCAATTTTAAACCACATCTAGAGGGCTTCCAACAGAATGTGGCATACTTTGTTATCTCATCCTCTAGAGCTGGGAAAGTTCAAAGGGTTCAAAGGGTTCCTCCCTATTTTGTCAGGAACCAAACTGGTATTGAAAACCATCCCCTGACAGACTGTACCATGGAGCAGATTTAGGAAACGCCATAGATAACCATGCAGCCATTGGCTCTTCCTCCTATTAGAGACTCTTGATATACAGTAAACTTACAATGATTTATATATAAATTAATTAAGTTGCTGGAGTAGGGTTTGAGTTTTCAAATTACTTCATACTCTGCCGGGGTCACAATCACTTAAAAAAACAGAACTTCCATTACTCATCCTATTAGTGTGCTCTGCAATCTTCAGGTGTCCATGAAGCTAGAAAGTGTTTATGTTTACAAATATACAACTTTAACTGTAAATATACAACTGGTTCAAACAGATGCAAAATGTTACTAAAATTAGTACAACTATATTAGAATTCCTGTTTGACATTACATGATTCAGTTTCATGTCACCTAGTAAATCATGTTTTACAGCGCTGTTGTACAGTATGTAATATCCAACTTTATAGAACTTATGTGCAAGATTCACTTAGCCAGGCTTGTTGACCACCCAAAGTCCTCAAATAACTACAAAATATCTAGCTTCTAAATTTTTTTAGATGTTTTCCAAGCCTGTTTTTCAAATTCTAGATTGCCGCAGCCAACAAAGGACAATAATGAATAGTCATGTGAAGTAAGCAAGATATGTATTTTGAGAAGTCCCTGATATTTTGGACATCGCTTTCTACATCTGAATTCCATTCAGCTCTCTCCATTGTTGTACTCATCTGCTTTTAGAAATTAATGTTAATCTTTAAATGTATCTTGTCCCTTTATTTTTTCTTAACCATTCTGTAATTTAGGGAGTTCTAGTGTAAAACCAATATATCAGCTGCATAAAATGTATTAGCAGTTACTATATCATATCACTTTACATGTGGTGTGACTAATAAGGTGTTCTGTAGAACAATCTGTGACCTGTGAGTCTCCAGGAGTCTGGAGGCACACTCTGTTGTAGTTTGTCACTTGTTTCTATAACTGTGGGTAATTCTGAAGTGTTACACCACTACAGTATTGTATTGCTTTACATTTGCAGAATTAGGTATAGCTTACTTAAATGTGTTATTTTTTAGGTTTTAGGAACCTGAGCTCTCTGACACACACATAAAGACAGCAGCAGTCTAAGCAGACACCCCTGAACTTAAAAATGTTGCCCTCTTTTGGGATTTTACAAATTGCAAACATTCTGTTTTGGGGAATTGTGTGGTATAGATCATACATCCACAATAATTATTGCAAGGACAGAAAGAGAGGAGTGAATCATTTTTTCCCCACTTACCTTCAGTTGTCATAATGCCTACAAAAAAGGCAAAGAGAAGTACAGCAATCTTCAGGTCCATTCTGTCTCTGTGACACTCTGACACTCAGGCTTGTGTGGAGGGAAATGCCTACATGTAAAACCAGATATCACATTTAAAGAATGTAAGCCACGCCCATCACATTACCCTTATGACAGGTGTGATTTAATAATATAATAAATCTTTTATTCTTTCTGTGGTTTGTCTATGTTTTACCATAAGCACTCCTTAGACCTAAGGTCCAATGTATTTTATGGCAAATTGCTACAAATGCTAAATCTGCACCACTGACTTGCACATGGCCTTCTCAGTATGATAGCATGACTTGAAAGCTATTGTCAATTAATAAACAGTTTTTATACACTATCTCCTATTTATACAATAGGACGTAATATGCAAACTCTAAACCAGGGTGCTGTAATCCTGTACCAGGTTATCTAGTTTTAAAAAAAAATCAGCAGCAGGTGAAGAGGTGGGAGAAATTGTTGAACTGCTTCAGTGAAGTTAACAAGGAGTCGATTGTGGTGATTAAGAGATTGGCTGATCTAAAAACCTTCAACCGTGATAAAGTATTACATAAAAGAAAATAAAAACATTAAATACATACTTATAAGTCATCATATATAAAAAGGTGCATAAGAAATAGTTCATATTTAAAGTGGAAGGAGGAAATACATTTCAAATATTGCACAACAACCTACTTGGCTTGAAGTCACTTGGAAAGTATGAAAGCCTGTTTGATTTCGGGGCTTTTTTTATGTCCTGCCCAGGACTAGGACTAGGGACCTCTGAACTAAACCATAATTTCTCAATGGGCAAGTTGTACTATAAGAGTATTAGCACTGCCACGTAATCTCTTATGATCTGTGAAAATTCTCCCTTGTAAACAATTATTCGTGTTACAGATCCTGGGCACCAAAATCCCCTACTTACACACATATGTGATCACCTGAAACCTAAAATACTTTCTAACCTAACTGACAAAAACAACAGAATATACCTACTGTTATGGCCAGGGAAGGCTTTTCCAACCCTGGTCCTAAAGCAGCAGGTTTTGTAAGCGACCAGTGAATCATAGTTTCTAAAGATATGGAACAATTTCATTGTGATAAATTAGGCAGGAAATAAGTTAAAATGTTATTATTTACAGAATATTTGCGACGAAAAATTTAAATATTCTTCAGGCCTCAAAAGGACTAGAGCCCTCTTACTGTAATTGTACAGACTACTTGCTTGATTCACCAATAGATTACAGATGCTGCACTTTTCTAGAATTTGGGGCAAGAGTGTAAAGTAGCCAATAAAGAATACACCTACAATACTAAATACAACCTTCCTAAAATCCAACTTACAGTACATTAGGACCCCATCTCTGGAAGTAAGTTAGAGGCTCAGTTACGATCCTTGGAATCTTTTCTCACCTAGAAACATTCCCTAGAGAACACAGTAATCCAACAATAAAAAGTAAAACAAATGCTTCTGTTAGTGGAAATTATACTTACAAGAATACCTTGCATTCAAAAACTTACCAATGAAATAAATCCTGAAGTGACCAATTAAAACAACTCGTGATGTTCACTTACTTTGGAATACCACACTCTTAAAATATTCACACACTCAGCTTTACATTTGGTTTCACATTATTTAGTAATGTATATATAAAACAATTTAATTAATAATCAACAATGCTAAATAAGCCATTTTCAAACACAAATTTAACCCACATTATTTAGCAATTACATTCAAAATCATAGATCTTAAATTCATTTATTACCATATCGTAATATTGTTTATAATATACTTTTTGAGCTCAGAGAGTACTGGCACTGTGGCTAAGGATCTGCACCTGTGGCTGGAAGGTTGCCGGTTCAAATCCTGCGGCCAGCAGGGGAATCCTACTCCACTGGGCCCCTGAGCAAAGCCCTTAACCCCAACTGCTCCAGGGGCACTGTACAATGGCTGACCCTGCGCTCTGACCCCAAGCTTCTCTCCCTGTCTGTGTCTGTGCAAGCTGGGGTATGTGAAAAAAGAGAAATTCCTAATGTAAGAAATTGTATATGGATAATAAAGTGATCTTATCTTATAAAATAGTTTCAAGGATGAAAATGGTCAGATAAAATACATTATCTTGTGTGAGGTGATTAAAAAGAGAGCAGTATGCTATGAATACCATTACTAATAATATTAACACAATTGAAAAGTTTCATTCTTAAAATTATCAGTTCAACATATCTGACAGGGTAATTTTCCACTGTGGTTGTCTGTGGTTGTTTATTTTACCTCAAGAATCCAGTATCAGTGAAGTGTGAACATATCACATCAGAACATCACATATCACACCAAAATCACAGTTATTTCACAATATTCATCTGAAGCAATAACTTGGCACAGAGTCAGGTTTCAGTATTTGTAGGGGAAACATAAAAATAAAGGAATTATGAATAATAATTAACAATATAGACAAGTCTTTTTTCATTCATACAGAATTACCTACAGTGGTAAGAAAAAGTGTGTGAACCCTTTGGAATTATCACTGTTTCTGCAGTAACTGCTCCTATTATCTGATCTGATCTTCATTTCTGTAATAATAAAACAATCTGATTAAATAAATAACAAACAATTGTTCTTTTCATGTTTATGTTGAACACATTGTTTAAACATTCACTGTTTATGCTGGAAGAAGTACTGTTGGTGGATCTTTAGATCTCGAAACTGGTGGATCCTCCTTTTTAGCAGCAATGACCTCAACCTAAAATTTCCTGTAGCTGCTGACCAGTCTTGCACATTGGTCTGGGGGTATTTTGGCCCATTCCTCTTTGCAGAACTGTTTCAATTTATTGCATAAATAGCTTGCTTCAGGTAATTTCAACTGAGGTTAGGTCAGGACTCTGACTTGGACATTCAAAAAGTCTGTTGTAGATTTACTCCTGTGTTTAGAATCACTGCCTTGTTGCATGACCCAACTTCTATTAAGATTTGGATCAAGGACGGATAACCCGGCATTCTCCAGGAGAATTTGCCGATACAATTTTTCATTAATTGTTCCCTCAATGATTGCAAGCTGTCAAGGCCCTGAGGCAGCAAAGTAGCCCCACACCCTGATGCTCCCTCCACTAAACTTCAGAGTTGGAATGAAGTTTTTGTGTTCCACCTTTGTCTCATCTGTTCACAAAACATTGTTCCAGTAGAGCTGTGGAACTACCTCCAGATTGTCTTAAACTTGAAACAGGCGGCAATGTTTTTTTTTCTGAAGCAGTCGTTTCCTATATGGTATCCTCCCATGTACACCACTCTTGTTCAGCATTTTTCTTATTATGGAGTCATGAACACAGATATTATCCAGTGCAAGAAATGCCTGGAGATCCTCAGTTGTCACCCTAGGGTTCTTTGTTACCTCTTTGAGCATTGTACAACATGCAGTGAGTTTTGTTCAGATGAACACTCCTAGAGAGAGTAGCAATGGTACTGAATTTCTTCCATTTTACACTATCTGCCAGACTGTGGATTGATGGAGACCAGAGTCTTTAGAAATGTTATTGTAACTCTTTCCAGAAGTCATTATCCTAGAGGTTCACATACTTTTTCCAGCATAGACAGTGAATGGTTAAACAATGTGTTCAATATAGATAAGAAAAAGTAGAATTATTTGTGTTAATTGTTTAATCAGATTGTGTTTATCTATTATGACTTAGATGAAGATCAGATCACACTTCAAGGTTGCCCTAGTAAAAAATAAGAGGCAGCAGGTGAAACACGTAAAAAACCCTGTAATTAAGTAATTAAAGAACATTTTCATTTTTTGGGTTCTTGGGTTCTTTAAAATTCTGTAAAATGATATTTATTATTTTTTTACCTTTCTTCTGTACTTTATTTCTCTTCTTTAAAATATAAAATATTACATTCAAACACAGATTAAAAACAATTAAAATAAAAAGGGAATAAAATGCATAATTAATAACCAGAGATAGGGAACATTTTCATTATTTATATATTTAAATAATAAACCCATATTAAAGTCAAATACAATGTACAAAAGTGGTCTAAAATATAGTTACAGTACTTCACTCCTGAATGATGAGACTTGCAGGAATAACAATTTTAATGCACAAATTCACTTTCAACCATCTGAACATTTGAAAAGCAGGTGTTCATTCGAGTAAACAAAAGTTAAAAGTTGACTCTTTCAGGCAAACTTTACTCATACACCGAAAGATTCAACAATACATACATTCTACAGCAAAATTCTTATGATTAAATAGCATTATAAATCTTAATTCTGGAATGCTGCATTATGATTAAGGTCAGAAACATAGGTTTCTATTTCACCTCACTAAGTGCTTTCATACACATTCCTGTGCCACAATGAGCTGTATCAATTTCTTCTCATCTAGAATGATGGTTTTAAGTCTCTATTTTAAATTTGTAATTTCTAGTCTAACCAACTAACCACATCAGATTCTAGAAACAAGTTGCAAAATTTGTCTGTGGTACATGCAGACAATTCGCTGGTTGTTGCAACCCAGTTGAGTAAATCTGTAAGAGTTAAAGCTGCATTCAAGTATCAAATAGAGGAAAATGTGGACACTTTGGGGATCATAAAGAACAGGTACCTTCAGGTCAGGCTAGGGTTCTAAGGGGGCTGCTGTTGACGATGTCAATTAACAGTCAAAGATAAAGTATGAGGAAGCAACCTCTTCAAGAGTATTTGCCTTGCAGGCTTATGTGGAGCTTGTGTCTTGTTTTAACAAGCCCCTTCATGACTGTTTACATGTTCATCATTGTGCAACAGGACTGGGAAAAACAAGCTTTACATGGAAACATCAAACAAAGAACAGGGTGATCAGAAATATAAGCAATCTTAACCATTTAACCATTAATGGTGAAATACAACTTACACAGTACGTAATTCAGCTGTAGAACATGAAAAAAGTGGATTTCATTTCAAAATAGCAGTAGCATGTCTACTGCTTCAGTATTTCAAAAGATTTGATCAGATCTCTGAGTGGTACAGTTTTACAGTTTTCTGCTGGGATATCAATACATGCTTGCCATAAACACAGGCTGGTTCTCTGATTGATTCACTTCTCTCTGTTCACCCCAACCCAATCAAATTCTACTGAGGAGTTCAGCAAATAGAGTAGCCACGGCTCATGGACAGATTAATTCACAAAAACACTAATTACACTCTTACAGTGGAAAAAAGAACAGTGTTACACTGAGCTATGCAAAATGATGATCCTAGTGCTGCATGACATTCCTAAGACATCCATTTGAAAGAATGATTAAGAAAATAAAATATCTGACTTTCATTTTTAAGTAAGAATAATGTTACCCTAAAATGTAGTCATTCAGCAGAATATTGTCAATACATGTAATTTTCTTATGTATATACTGTAGGTAGTCAGGGCTAAAATCTTTTTAGCCAGCAGCCATATCACCCTGCAACTCACAACTGGCAACCCACTGAAGCTAAGCAGGTGTGAGCCTGGGCAGTACCTGGATAGGAGACCTCCTGGGAAAAACTAAGGTTGCTGCTGGAAGAGGTGTTAGTGGGGCCAGCAGGGGGCACTCACCCTGTGGTCCATGTGGGTCCTAATGCCCCAGTGTAGTGACGGGGACACTATACTGTAAACAGGCGCCGTCCTTCGGATGAGATGAAAAACCGAGGTCCTGACTCTCTGTGGTCATTAAAAATCCCAGGGTGTTTCTCGAAAAGAGTAGGGGTGTAACCCTGGCATCCTGGCCAAACTTCCCCATTGGCTCTTACCAATCATGGCCTCCTAATAATCCCCCTCTATGAATTGGCTACATTACTCTGCTCTATGCCCCATTGATAGCTGATGTGTGGTGAGTGTTCTGGTGCACTATGGCTGCCGCCGCATCATCCAGGTGGATGCTGCACATTGGTGGAGGGGAGTCCCCATTACCTGTAAAGCGCTTTGAGTGGAGTGTCTAGAAAAGTGCAAGCAATTATTATTAATTCCTTACTGTAAATAACAATTTACCAGGCAAGATGTACTTCTACAACTGGACTAGGTCAAGATTCACTTAAAATTATATTTCCCTTGGTTCCCCTCTAATCTGCATGTTTAACATTTGCAGAAGACTGCACATCTTGAGGCTGTTCTTAATCCAAAAAGCACAGCTTCTGATATTGAAACTGATACTGAAACAAGACAAAACTGCATAACTGACTACTCCACTATTCTTCTACAAATGTTTCCATTTTCATGCATGGCTGTTATTTCAAAACTACTGGTCAGGATTTCAAACTATTAACCTCATCAGGTTATCACTTTGTCTGTTTTAAAGGTTTTAATTTGCATCGATGTGAGACCACTTCTGTGAGGACTGACTCACCAGCACCTGTGCAATTTAAAGACCTTCCTTGTTCATATCAAAAGTAGCCCCTGTAACTTTCCATTGATATTGTAACTGAAACTATAATTACTTTTCACTACTTTTGAGTTCCAGCTCCAGTTTTTAACTTTTTAGAAGTCATCTTGAAATGTGTAACATCTGATAAAGCCACCTGAATTTAATTTGTAACTATTTGTTTTACTTCATCATACATTCCGTATTACTTTTCTACTGTACATTAATGCTGGCCTATGTTTACAGAGTTAGGTGTACAATATAAACAAGATGCAGATGTTAGGAACACTATCTCAGTGGTCCCCAGCCATGTTCCTGAGTGACCATTTTGTTTTCTGGGTTTTTCTCTAGCCAAATTCTTAATCCAGGACTAATTGATTTCCATTTTCTATTTAAATTACTTTCCGCTCTTCAAATTTTGAAAGGGGTTTGTAATGCATCCAAGTTTCAGAAATCCTCTCAATCATGTCTGAAATTTAACCACTTGGACATCTCCAGAAGGGAAAAAGATTCCATTGTGGGAGGGTTTGATACAATGTCTGCCCTACTTGTGTCTGTTCCTCATACACTGATCACTTAAGAGCTGTCTAGACAGAAATAAGCATCTGTAATGCCATGAGCTGAAGATGTTAAAAACAGTGTTTCTGAAGTGATACATTTTTTAAGACTCTGCAGACACTGAGTGCAGAAACAAGTTAACTATAAGTCTAAACAAGCAAGCGTGTGAAATACAATGTTGCCAAGAGCACTGTTGATTTGAAGCTCTGCTGAATGAAAACTAGCTGATGCAGTGTTCCTCCAGTACCATGGCTGGGATCCACTGCTTTATCTCAATGATCCAAAATCCTATAACAAGAAAAATTACAGGCTTGCATTTCCTGAAGCTGTTATCAAAGAAAAAAAACTCATTTTGAATATGACATTCAGGTACTGTAGATGAGAGACTTGGAAAATCTAAAATTTATCCTGGGTAGACAGAGCACTAACAGCTGAATTATCAGAGTAATAATGTTGTAAATTGTTTTTTTTCTTCACAGAATTCAATTCACATCACATGATTTTCTGGAAATCTGAATACAATAAGCATAAACAGGGTTTGCCAATACCATGCCATAAATGTTTTTTTATAGCATATTTTGTCAAGTACAGATTGGACTTCCAAGTTCACTAGGCAGTTTCCTGGTTCACATTTGTTAAACAACAACAACATACAGTAAAAAGTTAAATGGATTAATGACTGAACTAAATACGTGATATTTCATATATCAATAAAATGTTATTATTCGAACACCCAAGTGAAAAATAAGCCTTGTTCAGAGTCTGCGAGAAACTCTCCAGCCCTGAAGCTCTAATTTTGTCAGCTCTCGTGGTTTCTATTTAGCTAGCTAGAGGTTAGCCAGCATTTAATGTCTCACCAAATATTTAGATTGAAAAGGCTTGTTTTCTGTGCACCTTTAAACTTTTTCTTTGTATTATCTCAGCAGCTGATATCATGAAGAACCAGTACTGTGGTTCTGCATGCAAACACATTTGCAGGACTGTAACCTCAAAAGTTGAGAACAAGAGGCTTACATATTTTCTACAGCACACAGAATCCTGTGTTACCAGATAGACTGCCTGTTTCTGAATACAGAATTAAGTGTATAATCAAAACATGGAACAGTATAATACAAAAAAGGTTTTATTCACTAAGTACAGAATTCAAACTTACATATACACAGGAACTTACAAAACATACAACTATGACATGAGATAACCTTAAAATCAGGGTCAGCTAATAGATTTCTGTAATTCACATTCAAATAATTCCCTGCCCTGTTTCATACTACTGTAAAAAGTGCATGTTCATCTGGAGGTTTAAAAGTTTGCTTTTGTGTTAGGAGTCTGAAACAGAAAAAGAAAAAAACAAATTAAAATCTGCATAACTCAAAAAGTGTGAATTAAAAAAAAAACAACGAATGAGTGGATAATGTATTCTCATTCTTCGGGATGAAAAGAGCTATTATCCATACAACAAATTATCATCATCCTCGATTTAATTTTAAATACTTTAGATACAAAAAATGACACCTGCTAAGTAATGAGGTCATAAACAGTTTGTTGAACATTAAAGTGATTTTACAGACTTAAAACTGTAACTTATTCTGTTGCTGTACTCAAGCAAAAATAAACTATCCCTAGAAAGAATAATGTATTAAACCAGTGGTTCTCAAACTGTGGTACGTGTACCGGCAGTGGTACGTGGAGTGCCGCCAGGTGGTACGCCAAATGACCATGGAACCGTGTCAAGTGCATTGAAAAATCGGGACGGGTTTTCATATTTTGTATTTTAATACGTGTCGAATACGCAGCCTATGTACTACGATACAGTGCGCGCTAATACTTCGGTGGACACGAGATACTCTGTAATTCTATACCACTCTATAGGAATGCGTGCTACGGATGCAAGTGACCAATTGTATTTAAAAAAAGCTACTGTATCTCCAGCAAATAGGGAGAAAGGAGAATGTCCGATTTTGGAACAATGCCAACGTTGTAAACACAGGAATGCATAGAAATACGTGCTACGAACGCAGGTTATCTTGTGAGCACACGAACACGTGATAACAGAAAAATATTTAAGAACTGTTCTAATTTGAGAAAAATACACTGAGCGTCTCTGTGTTTCGCTCCGATGCGCATGAAATAAAAACTTTTAAAAAATATGGAAATAACGGAAATGTGAAAAATGCAAGCTTGCGGATTGCTAAAGCAGGTAAGCTACACTATTTTTGAAGAACCTTATTTACCGTTGGCAAAAGAGCTGACACGTATTATGTGTAGAGAAAAAGCTGCTAAACAGCTTGACCTGCTGCCCCCCTCCCCCTGAAAGATACAGTCATTCATAGAATTATTGAAATGAAGGATTATATCAAAAGTACACTGATAGAGCGCGTTAAGATGAGCAGATGTTTTTCACTGCAATTAGATGAGTCTGTAGTCGATTTGGCCAATTTGCTTGTTTACGTTAGATACGAGTTTGAGGGCATGTCCCATGAGGACTTTCTGTTCTTTAAACCGCTACCAACAGGAACTACAGGAGAGCACATATTTTAGCTTCTGAATGAATTTATCGAGGAGAATGGCATCGACTGGATAAAATGTGTGAGAGTTTGTACAGACGGTGCTAGAGCAATGACAAGCCGATATAACGGTGTAGTTGCACGAATTAGAGAGGTTGCTCCAGAAATTAAAGTACGCATTACAACATCTACCGCGAGACCTTTGCCGTCAAGAAAATGCCTGACAATTTAATATATGTTAGACTCTGTTGTGAATTGTATCAAGGCTCAAAAAATTAATTCACATCTGCTTTGCTAAACTAAACAGGCTCACCCCTCTCACTGAAATGGTGCTTTTTTATTAGTTGTTGTTAATGTTTTTTTTCTGTAAAACACTTTGAGAAGCCACCTTTAAAGGTGCTATATCAAATAAAGTTTATTATTATAATATTTATTATATGTATGTGTGAGTGTGTGTGCACGCGCGCTCATGTTGGTCATTGAGAATTTCTGGGGTTCCTATGAGATGATGACTTGTAGGTGGTACTTGGATGCTTTGGTTGGATTAGGGGTGGTACTTAGTCCAAAAGTTTGAGAACCACTGTATTAAACAATGTATTTTAGACACAATATTCAAAATTCAATATTCAATCCAATTGCTTTAGAAGGGATATTCAATTTGCCTGTTCAAATGTTCTATACTGTATATTCACTCACCTTTATTTGTTATGCTAGGAATTGTGACTGGAATGTTTCACCTCTAGATCTTTCTTGCAGTCAGAAAAGTGCTGTGGAAAGAAAAATGTAAAAATATGGGTCATTTAAGCACTATGTGTGCTTTTTTGATGATATGATGTACAGGAACACATTCAACTTTTGAAAAACAAGTACTGTAGTTGACATTTAATCTTTTTCTCCTTTTTCCTTTTGCTATATGAAAACTACTGTGGAATATTATCCTGGCAAATTAAGTAAAGAACTAAAATGAAACCAGGAACTAAGGAGTAGTTCCTGTACTGTAGTTATTCTGAAGAATGAGGTAAAATAGAATTCTATTTAGGTGTTCATAGGTGTTCTTAGAGATATTTCATTCTGATTTGAATTTCATGACTAAAGCTCCAGAGTGTCCAATCAATGTAGAAAAAACCTGTTGTGTTGTACAGTTTAATGTAATATACTATATTGCAAATTAAAAATAATTTCAAGGTGAAAAACTAGTGTGCAAGCAGAACTGTGATTCTTAGAGTAAAAATTTGATACCCAGAAAACCACATTATCATCATAAGACGCCAATATTTAAACAGTCCTACACAAAATAACTGAATTTTAATGTTCATTAATGGATAATAAATGAATGCCTCACTCCAACCTGTTAGAGAGAGTGATGCCTCACTCAAACCTGTTAGAGAGAACTAACAGGTTTGAAATAAGACTTAATCTTGTAACCCTGTTGTTAAGAATACATTTCACAGTTCAAAATACCAGTACACAGAAAAGTACTGATGATGTGTACTTTGGTTCAAGAAGACAATTTTATTTTAGCACATACTGTCTGTTACAGAAAAGCAGCTTTTCACTGTGTATCCCAGGCCAAGTTCACAACACATTGTGAAGAACGTGATTCATTTTCTTGGGTTTGGAAATAATTTTTAAGGAAAGAGAGTGCAAAACTAATAAAAGTAATTTACATTTCTCTCTGGGCTGGCATAGATGTTTATATAAAGGGATTAAATGTTTAATTATATGGTAGCTCCATGAGTAAAGTATTATAATGCTTTAGGGAACACTAATCTGTGTAACAAAAAGGTTTCAGAAAAGTCTTGTTATAGGAAACACCCTTCAAGAACATGACAAAGATTTACAGAACCTGTCTATACATTCTACTAATGTATTCTGCTGATACAGCTTGCCAAGGTCTAGTTGTTATCATTGGTTGAAGACTGAAAACACAGTTTGATTAAAACCAAAGATTATTTTGCTCAAGAAAGGACTGTTAATGTGAGGTCAGCATTTAAGAAAATGAGGGCTAGACTGACAGATACTTGTTATTCTACCTTCCATTCTGAACAAACTGTAATTATTGTAATTGGCCATAATTGTCAATAAAAATTGTTATTTAGTGTAACAAAGTGAAACCATCAAGATACTTTTTATTTCGGGCATTTAAAACCCAGGATATTTCTGCTGAACCCGACAGTTCATTACACCTCTTTACCAATTTGTGCTACTATTTAATTAAATTTTGATTAGCAGTATCAATTATTTTAGCAGACAACTAAAATTGATTACTGGGGCGACATTATGGACATACACATTTTGTTTTATTTATGTATGAGCAAAATCCAAAATAATTCGATGATGCTTATAAATCAACAAGCTCAGCCTTTTGCAAATTCATTTTTTTTCTCCTATGCAGAGTCTCGTATTGTGGACTCACCTGTTGGACCTGCTGAATCTCTCTCATGGCAAGGCGGATAGATGGATACAAGCGAGGGAAGGGGCGATTACTCTTGTTACTCTGGTCATCATTTGCTTCCTGGCCTCCAGTCACATTTTTCTGGATTTCCTGAGCTTCAGTCCGGAGCTTCCTCTCTGAAATTTTTTTCAGTACCGGGGGCACTTGGGCCTCTAATGTGTGGGTTGGATTGGGAGGAATAAAGAGTTTTAGGAGCTCAAGGTGGCCACGGTCAGACACAGACTCGTCCGAGCTGTCATGGCCTCCGTCAGCCTGTGAGCAGGGCTTCAGCATGAGGTTCTTCAGCTCCTCATAGTCAGGCTCCTGCTCGCATATCTACAGCAATTAAAACAAGGTTTATTGGATTTTTGTTTTACCTTTTATTCTCTACTACACTTTAAAGAAACAAAGCACAATAAAGCTTCACATAAAGACAGTCTGTGCTCAGTGTACATAATCCTATGAAAGAATGGATTGAGGAGTCCATTTGAGACCTGGAAGTTGTACTGGAAAATAGCAAATTAAACAATATAAGGAAAGAATAAGCTTTTTTTTTTAGTATTTATGAAAATACTATTCTGGAGAACAAAGAGAGAAAGTGTTTGGCCCTTTCCTGGGATGAATTGTGATTTGTGATAAAATACACATTTAGTTAAATATTAGTTTGCATAGTTATATATTTAATATATTTAGTCCAAAAAAAAGAGCCATTTTTTTTTTCTTTTTGAAAGATGTTAGGAAACTCTAGGTCTTGCATTTTGCAGTAGCACAGTACAATCTTGCAATATGCTAGAGGACAAGCCTGAAAGAGCCCATCAACCCCAAGGTGTCACAACTGGTATTATTTTTGAAACTGATGAATCAATGTGCCATTTGTGAGTGGCAGGAGTAAAGTGTACAGGACGTGAGTGGGTTACCTGTCCACAGGGCACCGTGAGCAGCTCCATGAAGGGTTTGATGCCAACGTTCTTGTGGTACTCCACCAAGTCGGGCAAGGAGGCATGGGCCCGGTCTTCTCCAAGTATGACATACTTGCCGTTCGTCTGCATCTCAATCATGTAGTGTCGGCAACGGTCTTTACCCCTGTCAGCAACGAGAACACAGAACAAGAAGAAATCATTCAGTGTTATTTTTACTCAAATGTTCGAGCCTTTTGTCTTTTTGTGAAATGCACTGTGATGTCATCACACAACATGATAAAACAAAAACATTACAATAAAATCACCAAAGTGCTCTGGGATTTACAATCCCTTGCTGACATTTAGGGAAGTCTTGTGCCTTGTTTTGTTACAATAATGCTGCTTCTGAAGTACAACCTAATTGCCATGCAGGGTTCATTTTAGGGAAGCTTCATAGCTTCATTATTAGCTTGTGACCAATCTGAGAGGATATCTTCAGTTTGTAGGAGAGCCTGCAGTTCAAACAGTGTGATCCGACTGAGAACGGAAATCTAATGTTGTAACTCACATAGTTAACAAATAACATACAAATCTAAAAAAAATTACAAATAACATACAAATATAAAATGGTAAAGGCTCAGATTAAAGAGGCTACTTGGGAAAAAGACTAATGGGTTTATGATGACATCCTTTACATCTTCAAGATAATGTGGGGAAACAATGAAACAGGCAAAAGTTAGGGTACATATTGTACGTAGCCTAAAATGTAAATAATCTGGTTTCATGCTAGAACTCTACATTGCTTAAGCAAGAACATGGTTAAGATAGTGTGTACAATCCTGGTCACCAAGATACAACAGAAATATTGCTGTTCAGAAAAGAGCAATCGCATACATGCTCAAAGGATAACCCTGCGCTGATTGGATAAAATAACTTAATCCCTTTTTATCTCAAAAAGAGAATGAAGGGACCTGATTCAATTATTCAAAATCATCAAAGGCATCAAAAAAGCCAACCTAGTGGACTTCTTAAGAATTAAACATGATCTGGTGAACACAAGTACAATTCAAACTGAGAACAGGAGGCAACTCTCAAGTTAGGTTCTTCCTGTACTTAAAAATCTAATGAGTTTGATCAACTGAATTGTTTAAAATTATTCTCATATTAAAATGTATATATTAAAGTGAAATTTGAAGTCCAAACATGGAATAAAAAAAAAATCGAATGCCAGAAAATAATCGTTTCAAGTACCACTATACATGAGGAACCAGCATGCAGGCACATACCCATGAGTGTTCGGATATAAGTTTGAAATCCCTTATGCAGGCTGTCAGTGAAGATAACAGTGAGGGATAGGTTCAGGATTTAGGAAAGGAAAGTGACATTTGCAAACCGTGAAACAATGCAAACTGGGAATAGAGTGCAAAAGTGCAGATTGTTATGTGAAACCTTCAACCTATAACAACCTACTTGTGATTGGCTTTCTGAGAAAATTCAGGCAAAGTATGTGAGCTTGAAGAGTACAAAAACCCCAAAGTTCACTTTTAATGTCTACAGAATTGGATTTACTATAGTTACTGTGTGGTAAAACTGTGGTTTCTGTCTAGTTTGTGTGGAGGTAAATTTGCAATTATTTTTTACACTCCACAGATAGGTTTCACAGACCCTGACCAGCACTAGTTTTGGACTTTCTTACCTAAATTAACAAACTGTCCAAGATTAAAGCTAATTAAGATTTGTGAAACTAATTCCTCATTCATAGAATGAATAAATTGAATTACTGTACATTCTCGGGCTGGAATATGGGGCCCTATCCATATAAAATGATCATATTACATTATTTTTCTATATTAAAAAGTGAGACATCTTGAGTTCCCTTTCCTTTTTATTATAGACTCATACTTTTTTTAAAACGTGTCCGTGGCAGGGGAGGCTGTCAAATTGAATACCAATATTTTTTGTTCATGTCTTAATGTGGCTGTGATACTTCTTTCAAAAGGTGCGAAACAAAATAGTTGGTATGCACATTTAGATATACTGTAGGGGCGGTGTGGTGGCTCTGTGGCTAAGGATCTGCGCCTGTGGCTGGAAGGTTGCTAGTTTGTATCTCACGGCCAGCAATCCTACTCTGTTGGACCCCTGAGCAAGGCCCTTAGCCCCAACTGCTCCAGGGGCACCATATAAATGGCTGACCCTGCGTTCTGACTCAAAGCTTCTCTCCCCGTCTGTGTGTCTCGTGGAGAGCAAGTTGGGGTATGTGAAAAGACAAATTCCTAATACACGAAATTGTACATGGCCAATAAAGTGATCTTATATGTAATTGTTGAAACAATTAATTTTGAACTCAAATGTTTAAAAGCCAGGGTTTTTTGTGTGTAGTAAAAATATAAACATCAAAATTATGGAATAAATTTACTTAGTATTACATTTGACAATGATATTATAATACAGTAATTATCTAATTGTAGTATGTTACACTTCATACCTGAATTACTGTAACTATGTGGTTTCGTTAATGAATCAACAGTTTACTGCACACTCAAAGTAGTAACTGTGGACTTGTTATACATCAATATACATGCCGCTATCACATTTGTGAATCACCTGAGGAGATTAGCTTCCTGTATGATTAAAAGCAGGTCTTTTGGGTGGGGTGGGAGGAGGTTAAATTTTTACCTGTACGTTAATGTGTATCCTTCTCGACTCTGGCCAACACGAATCAAGAAACAGCCAAGGGGCTTATCAGCAATGAAATCTTCAGCTTGTCTGGGAAAATAAATCACAAAGGATTAGCAGAATGTTTCAGATATTTCTTCAGAGGTGGTGACAGATTTTTGGCATCTTTCCTCTCTGTCAGGACCGAAATGTTCCTGGCTTCATGCCTGAGAAAAACTGAGGAGAATAGAAAAGCTTGCTTTATCTGATCATAAAAAAAAGAATGACAAAACTGGGGAAATTTTGCCCATTTATTTTGTTTGTGCTGAATACAAATAATGATCATGAAACAATGGAATGAAACAATATTCTCAAAAATCAGGAATGATATATTTTAATTACGTTTTGTATTTTTATATATTTTAAAGGCTAAACTAATAGTGAAAATGAAACAGAAATTTAACCAGAGCTCTTCATTCTCTTCAGATTCATTAATCTGTTGAAGTGCTGAACACTAACACTGAAAAGTAGGGTCAGACAAGTATTTACAGTATATTTTTCATTCTCTTCATACCAAGAAGAACTTGTGTGATTAGGTGTTTTATATTGCACCACTACTGAAATGGTTAACAACAATGATCTTAATTGTATGCTTAAATAGGCCATGTTCAGTAGTTTGGTTAGACCCTAATGAAAGTGACAGAGAGATTAAATATTTAGCAAGCTTTTGGTGTGACTCACCTAATTGAGGAATTGGCAGCCAATTAGAGATATAGGCTGCCCGAACCCCTGCTCACTATTGCAAAGACCGAGTTAGAATTTGAGCAAGGATGCAGATAGGAAAGTGGGGGGAATGAGAGAGAGGTACCTAAAAAGAAGACCTGGGTGTGAGACTTATATACGCAGGCGAGCAGAAGTATGTGAGATTATAGTCTATCCTTCTGCCCAAACCCCTGTTTAAACTCCATTTTGAGGATTCGTTTTTCTAATTCCCATGTAGAATATTTTGGATAATGCAATCCATGGTTGTTATAGTTGTCAGTGTGTCTGCTGCCTCCTAGATTCATTTTAAAATGTGAAGACTCTTAAAAGGTTATCCTAAGAGCAAACTTTAAAATGCATATTATATTGCATAGAGTTTTTGGAAATCCATATATTAAAATGTGTTTGGTGTGTTAAGACAATGTAAGACTACAAAAAAGACATAATAGTACTGTGTGGGTTCTACATATGATATTTACAAATAAGATTATGCAGTCCATAGAACAGACTTTGGAAAGGCATGAATCACAAGAGCAAAGTTATTCTGGAAAACGTGAAAACTGAAAAAATACTTTCTTTTAGACTGCACATTTAGAGAGTAATAGAATGAGACAAGTAAATCAGATCAATAGTTCTACTGTCTTTCAAATATGTCTGAATGAACAGCAGATAAAAATCTGGAAAAGAAGCAGCAATTTTCAATTTAATCAATCAAACAAATAGTTTCAGTTTATCGTTTAGCATTCCAGTCGAATAAATAAGTAACGTCCTTTTGGTTTTCTCTTGCCTTTTTGAAATTCCCCTGTCTAACTTGCTAAGTTACGTAACACTAACCACCATCCTCACAAGAAAAGCAACTGAGGTAAAGGTAATATTTTAGTGTTAAATTTCTCACCTGCGTGTAATCATGCCATGAAACCAGTTTGGAAAGGTTCCGTTTCTGACCACCTTCCTGGCCTGCGTCTCCTTAAACCATCGGATGGTGTTCTTCTTTTTAATCTGTCGCTCTGTCGCTGCTTCCTCTACTTCAGTGTTTCCCAGTGTGACAAAACCATTCTTTATATTCAGGTCATTGTCAAATGGTGTGGCCTGGAATATCGTTCAACATAAGTTATATTTCCTGCACACTCATAGCAATAACTTTGGACTTGTTAATCAACAATACATCTGCCTATATGAAAGAGTTGTTAGAAGATGCTCTTGAAAAGAATGATTCAGATTATATTGCTCTCTACAGAACAGGAGGGTTAGATTTTGTTAACATTTATTTGTTTTGAACTTCTAAATTTAATTGTAAGACCTAAACGTTTTTGTAGGCTTTCAGATACAGACGGGATACTGTGGTCCACCAAGAAGAGAATTAAGCACACGTGGTATACAGAAAGAATGAACAAGAGATGGTGTGAAAAAAAGAATACTGCCGATACTATACATTGACTGTAATCAGAAGATTCATACCATAAATTGTCTGCTGCGAGGCCTGGGCACTGGAGGATGCAGGGGAGGTATGTTGTCCTCCACTAAAATGGTGCGTGGTCTGGGCTGAGGGTGAGGCTTTTTCGTTCTTGGCAAAGGCACAGGTGGTCCTACAGTATAAATACACCAGCACACTCTACAGGAGTTCATTTTTACAGCCCTTCCTTCAACAAAACTGATAAGTTCAAAGTTCAATTAATACAGAGCAGTTGCAGAGTGTCTTCTTTTCATTTTAGGTAAGCTTTGAATGATTAAAACAATTGTTATTTAAAGTAAATTTGTGGTAAAATGCATTTCTACAAATTAACTAAAGCAGTTGGTAGTCTTTAGGGTTGTGGCTCTCCTATGCGCATAAAACATTTTTACAGGACTAAACAAAACGGCCACAAAATCCCTCTTACCAATTCTAAAATAATACTGCAGTGGAATTCTAAATGGCTTTGACTTCACCGAACCTAAACCTATCAGGATTGAAAGAGGGAAGTAACTGTGCGGATTGAGACAGGAAGTGTCCTCACTGTGATTCTCCTGCTCCATCTCCAGCTGTCTCTTCATCTCCTCCTCCTCCTGCTGTTGCTGCTGCTGCTGTTGCCTCCGCTGCTCCTCCTCCCTCTCCAGCTGCAGCTGCCTCTGCTTGCGCAGCTCAGCCTGGAGCGCGATGTACCTCCTCCGGCCTCTCGTTGCACGGACATCTCGAGAGAAGGACACCATCTTGACTGTCAGACTTAAAATAATTACTATAGCACATATTCCCTTTTGCATCCTGTGTTTAAATACAGTATATGTTGTCTCCTTGTCCCAGATGTGACATTTACATTAACACAAGAGGTACACCGGGGCTGTGCTTGGGTTATACAATGCCCTCGGAAGTGCTCGTGTTTTCAGAACAGAGTCGGCAGACGCACTCCTGCTTTCCTTTCCTGATGGCCATCTGTAAAAAACAACAACTTCAAACTGCACCTAAGTGTGCTGTGAAATCTTGCATCCCTTTACACTTCTACTTACTGCTACAGTACGTGCCCTGTAACACAGAGAGAGAATGATTGCCCTGACATGCTCACAGGAGGGTTAGAACCACCAGGAGGAACAGCACATCTCTCACTGTGATCACTGTTACCTTGCAGGTGTCTGGAAGTTGCTAGAAGTTGCCACGGTTACTCTCTCAAACTCTAACCCATCCATGTCTGGGTCCCTGGCCAACTGCTTGGGGAAACCTGACAGTCAACTACTGGCATGTCTGTAGTTCATAATCGCAATGCCTGTATGCTCTGTGTTTTTATCAAGAGGTCTTCACAAGTTAAGAAATTTGGAAGACTCGTGAAGGAGGTTTAACTAGTTTTTTATAAGTCACGTGCAGTGAACTTGCCATGGGGTATCTCTAAAATCTGAAGGGAGGGTCATTAAATAATCAAGTTACTTGATGCAAATAATGAAATAAGTTGAATGCAGATTGATTTCCATGTGCAGAACCAAATTTATGTCTAAATTTTACTTTCAAACCAAATTTATATTATATAATGAGACATTAAAAATGACAGCAAAAAATAATTGACGTTTAATTACTCAGCCTTGAAAAGACATCTCACATTTTCTATACACACATCCACACTCCTGTCTCACCTGTGTAATTAAACTTACTTTTCTGGATGACTATGGCTGCCTTTTCCAGTCTGTCTAAGAGTTTAGTCAGCTGCTCTTGGTGCCAATATTTAAAGAACAGCCGTGAGGATCTAATGCAGAAAGAAAGGTAGAGTTAAAATCAATATCTTTCATTAAAAAAAAAATCGGAATTATATGTTTTATTTGGATTTGGATATTTTTCAGGTTCCTACTGAAAGCTTGAGCTTCTAGATTCAATATTAATAATGAGAGTTTTTCAGCAAACAGTTGGATTACTATAATAATCGGATGAAAAGGAATTGTTACATAAAGGAACACTATAACAACAACAACAACAACATCACTTTATTAACCCTATACAATTTCTTGCATTAGGAATTTGTCTTTTCGCAGACCCCAGCTTACTCTCCATGAGCCACACAGACAGGGAGAGAGCCTGGGGTCAGAGCGCAGGGTCTGCCATTGTACAGCACCCCTGGAGCAGCTGGGGTTAAGGGCCTTGCTCAGGAGCCCAACGGAGTAGGATTCCCCTGATGGCCACGGGATTTGAACCGGCAACCTTCCAGCCACAGGCACAGATCCTTAGCTACAGAGCCACCGCTCCGCCCAGTTTGGTATAAACTTCGTAAAATACTTTTTAACATTTTACCTTTGGCCTTTGTATAAAAGTTGTTTTCACTGGTCCGACTTACCCACATTTCCAGTCTTTGAGGTCAGTGGTATTCAGAATCTGTAAACAGCTGGAGACAGGGAAAACAATATCATGCATTGGAGTCATCTACATCAGCTATATAAGATCACAATGAAAATAACATAATAAAGTCAAACACAGACATTCAAACATTTTAGTTTGGATTTGAACATACAGTAACTGTGCCTGATTCAAAAGTGCTTTCATCATAACTTTAGAACAATTTGAAACGATCGGAGTCCCAACAATTTTATTTTTGGTGCACAGGAAACGCATTGCTCATATGATCAATTCAATCCACTGATCAAGCTAACAAAACATTAAATCTAGACGCACAATACTTCCTGATCTCTTTTATGTAAATTAGAATGCTTTACAAAAAAAGTCTAGCCAAAGTAACACGAAACCTATAAACACTTACAATATGTTATAGTTTTAATGCACATATTATTTGTGGTAATGTCTTTATGGATAGATTTTAGATTGTTTCCTTTATTCATCTATGCACAAATGCTCAGAACAAACCTGCGAAATCAGTATGTAAAATATATAACCAAAATGTAATTTCTATGTCTTTTTATATGGTGCAATTTAAGGATGCTGTGCATACAGTAGGTCTGCATTTTCTGTTTTACACAATTTTTGCACAAGCCTTTGTTGTGCTTTGGATAAGCCTTTTAGATTAAGGCTAGTACAATTATTTTACACATCCCCAGACTTATAAATAATTGGAGGGAATATTTTCACTTTATGTAATTTAGTTTAAGCAATTAAAGCACAAACACCAAAAAAACATATAACGCATGAAATGACAAAAATAAATAAAGACAATAACAGAATTGTGACCTCAAAATTGTGTTGTAGGAAAAGGAAGTCACTTTATGTAAAAGGTCCTGTCAATCTTCTAGGGAAAATTTTGATATTTTAAGCCATTCAAGCTAGTTGTGATAAGGTAGTATGATGAAATTGATACAAATCACTGATGGATTCAACCAGAAATTGAGTGTCTGCATACAGTATATCAAATTATGTTTGGTTATGCGTTCTAGTTTATGAACATGTGTACAGTATGTACAGACATTCATGCGTTGAAATGATGTGCTGTAATAGTGTTATTGTTTTGACCCGATCAAGTTTGATGCAATGACTCCAATAGCTGGGTTCCACCTAAAGAAGGAGAGTAAGGTTTGGAAACTATAGTAGCTACTGGAAAACATACTAAAGAATCCTACCTATACAAGGAATAAATTATCCCTTAATTCCTGAAAATGATGAAGAATAATCCCTGGCAATGACTTCCAGCTGTATTTCCAACAGTTAATACAAAATATAATTTTTTACAAGCACCTTTGAACTTAAAGTTTATTTCATGTTAAACTACACATTTTCTGTACGTTTCAAGCCTGGATCTTGAAATATCCACTGAAAACCCATATAATTATTTCTCTTAAGCCAAGCAGAAGTATGGACAATGTTTAGGGCCATTTTCTTGTTGAAAATCAATCACTAGGTCAGTCCAAACAGATGCATGGATGGAGAAAATGCAGCTTTGTGAACAGATTACGATGTCTAAATTCATCTTCCCTTCTACTTGCAAGATCCTATTAATATCAACAATCCATTTTCAAACCACATTTTCCAATTCAGGATCACGGGTGAGGTGTAGCCTATCCCAGCATGCTACAGGTGCAAGGCAGGATAGGACACCAGTCCATCGCAGGGCAGACAGATACAAACACAGACATTCACACCTAGGGCCAATTTTTCCTAACAATACTGATTTTGACAGTTCCCTCAAACACAATATTTTTGCACATAATAAATTGGGAAATTTGCTTGTTTTATATTTCAGATAGCCATTTCTATTCCAATGTCATTACCATTTAGCAATGACACAGACATCCTGGTTTAGTGTTCCATGGAAATGTGGAAAGCTCGCATATCAAAAAAGAGCTAAAAAAGTTAATAAAATAAAATTGTTTATATGCAAGTTTGGTAGAGTAAACAAAAAGTTGTGTTGCAAGTTCTGTGTGTACACAGAGACAAAGCCAACCCTCTAAAACTGTTCACATTGGAATATTGTGAGGTGAGATTTAAGACAGGCAGTCATAACAAAAACAGAGAATGTCTGAAAGTGATTGAGAAAGAGCTCTGTGCCACTGTCATATGTTCCTGCCAGGATAAAATATTATAATAATTACTGTGCTTGAGCTGGTGACATACTGTGTGGAGGGGGCAGTGTGCATTCTGATAACTGCTAATATATATGATGCTTACAAGAAAATAAGTCTCTTTTTATACAATACAACCTTAAAACATTTGAGATCTATTATCTACTAAAACCTAAAACTTATGGACAGCAATGTATAGCATTTCCACTATCTGTAATTCACCCATAATGTGTGGCCATATGAAAGCGGAACAAATAAAATTATTTGAGAAAGTAAGGGTAACAATAAAAAGAGTTACATTTTATATTAAGAGGTGCAACTCACTTTCTCACAACAAAGAACTCACAGCTGTTACTTGATAAATATCTCCCAGTTAAGAACAACAGAGATGATTAATAGACACATCCTAACACTTTATTCATGTTCTAAGCATGAATTAAAGGTTGTAAGGGATTTATAAATGAATTTATGCAGCCACTAAACTGAAATCTTGCCTACTCTAAACAATCACAAATCTTCAATATTCTCTCCAATGAATGTACTGTGTTTAGCAGTACTGTACTGCTTTACTGCTGATTGTACAGGACTGCTTTCCTCTGCTTACACAGACACATATCCTCCCTACCTAGTGTTATAGCATTAATATTTATAAAGCTATATAATTTACTCTTACCTTTCTTTGTTTAAAGGCAGATCTGGCTTAATCAGGAGAATGCCGTACCTGTACACAACAAAGTGGAAAATTAAATATTCTTGTAAAGACGGAATAGGTTCCCCTAGTACAAAAACAGCCAATCGAAAAATGGGACGAAATCAATAATTTCATATCAGTCATGCCAAACAAGCTGGATTAACTCATTACCCCTCATTGTTCCTGATCTGAAACCAGGTTATAAAATTATTTGAAAAGGAGATAACTTTATATTTCCACAGAGAATGGAACATGAGGCCCTAGAAATGCTGCACAAATATGATAAACAGGACATACCTTTTTACAAATTCCTCAAAGGAGGGCCGCCAGGAAAATCCATCTCTCCTTATGCGAATGGTCTCCAATAAGCCATTATACCTCAACTTCAAATAAAAAACAACTGACCAATTAATCTTAGTATGTGTAATTATCTGTAAACCACTTTGCACATAATTCTTTCCTCCGTTCTTAACACTTATTGTTAAATTACGCAATTGTGTTCACTCTGCTGAAAAGCTACCGACATGCTGGCAAAGGAGCACAAAATTAAATTTAGGAGCACTAAATTGTCCTTTACAAATACCTTAGAAAGCATGAAATACTTAACCATCTGAAGAGTAATGAGCATTCAACATATTTTATGCATCATATACAGGTGAAGTGAAATGCTTATTTGTGTGTATGCTCCAATACAAAGACATTTAAGGAAACACCAAAACAAACACAGAATGGCAGCAGCAACAGCAACAAACAACTTAAAAACACAAGCAGTTTGCAAAAAAACATCAGTGTGAGTCAGTGGTGGAGGAAGAATTAAATAATCTTAAAGCTTGCGGAAAGAAAATGTGTCTGAATCTGGAGGTTCGGGCCTTTATGCTGCTATAACCCCTACCAGGGGGAAGGGGAGAGAAAAGTGAGAAACCAGGATGACTGCTATCCTAAAAGTGATTCTTAACAATGAGATTTTGGCAGTGGTGGAATAACAACCCACTCCTCCGAAGGGACTGGAGCTTTAATCCATCTCCTTAGAGCGCTTGGCCACATTACCCACGGTCTACCAATGTAGGAGATGGATTAAAGAAAAAAGAACATTGGAAATATTTGAAAGCCTCCAACACTTGGCGCAATTTGCGCCAAAACACAATGTGTTGTACTATCAAGCTTCAAGAGTTTTAGGGTTGAAGACACAGCTGCTTTAGGGTTGAATACACAGTATTCAACCCTGTGTATTTCTACGGAGAATGGAACATTATCTGAGAGGAAGCTGCAGCTAATTAAAGGGTATTTCTGGTCATTATCCCCTTTAAAAACATCTTAAAATAGCAGATAATTAGAGCTAAGTGTTGAATTCTGTTAATATCCCTAAGGGTTTTAACACACTCGATTCTCCCTGGCATTCAAACAGATTAATAAGTATAATAATGCCAAGAAGATTTTGACATGTTAATAATGTTTTATATTAAAAATATTGTATTTTTCAGCCCAAACCTGCAGGGCATGCTTTCTGCCTCGCAGAGCTCTTAACATAAAAACATCTAAAGTAGTTAACTGAAGCCAATGTACCTTCTCTCTGCCTAACAACACTTACTATCCAGAACTTCACTCTAAGGAACATTTTCTTTTCCTTCCTATATGTTTCAGACACCTATACCATATCAACTCAATTTCAAGTCCTGCCTCCCAACTTTCACTTTCCCTTGCCTTATGCCCAGCAAATGCACGTGGCCTCATATAATATGAATTTAACATGTTCAGCTGCAAAGGAAGAGGATGAGTCATATGTATACCTAAGCAAATGCTGACAAAGACAACAATATTCAAAATCTGTATTAGTATTTTTCTAAAAACACACATAAAGTGATGTTTCTTTTGATGCTCACTACAGTATACATCATAAATTAAAAAAGGAACTCTAAATACTTTAAAACAAATAGTGCAGATATATCAGATTACTGTGTTAAATATAAAACTTCCTAGTGAAAAAAAGACATTCAAAACAAAAGGTTAAGTTTTCCACAAACCTGGTCCATTAAAATCTTTGGGTCCATTTTATCTGGCAGCTTGTTTGTGTTTGGTTTTATGCACCGAACAAAATGTGGATTCGCTGCAAACATTTTCTCCATCAACACAGCCAAAGAATGCTGGAAAAGACAAAAGGAAAAAAAAAAGGATCTCAACTGAATACTGCTACAGTGGTGATAAAACTCCAAAACAAACCTTAGACATAGTCATTAAGATGTGTTTAGGAGATTTGCTTGAAAAAGAATCAATAACATTTTATAAAGATATCTTATATTGTACCTCTACAATATAAGATCTCACTTATATTACAATATAAGATATGTAGATGTCACTACATAATGGATCAGACTGTCCCATCCTACAGTCTAAGGGACTAAGGGAATAGACTTTTCATGAGTTTGTGCTAGAGCACAAATGACAATGCCAATTACTGTAGATCAACAATCTGATTATTACCAAGCCTTCAAGTGGATACTGCTGAAAATGAAATTAATATGAACATTATTCAACATCTCAATATTAAGATATAAATCCACCAATTTAAAAAATAATATCTTGTCTTTTAGTGTCTTCAGGACACCATTAAACAAGAAGTCAATTGTTCCTAGATGCTCGTCTATTAAGTTTTGTCAGATTGAAAGATCACCTGTGTACAAAGTGAATTTATGACAACTTAATAACTTCTGCTGAGAACATTTTTTTCAGATGCAACTTGAGCCGTGAAGAAGAATGTGTGAGATCTGGTTGTAAGCCAGAGATGAATGTGAAAACATAAATAAAGCACCAATTAAAGAAACGGACTAGACCCTTACAGAAACTAATCCTGTTATGCCAAGGGAAAAAAAAAACCTTACAAACTATAGATATGATTGTGTAAGGAAACTTGTGCTGAGCAAATGGACTCATTTTACAGTCTCTGTTTTCATGCCTAAGGAGAAAACGAAACCCTATGATATAAATCATTGACACCTGAAATAATTATATGTGGAAATAAACTTTATGTTTGGGATCTATGAATCAAAGTGATTTGTGACATAGATTAGAAAGATGGATTAACCCTACTTTATTAGTAGAACTTGATTCATACTTCCTTACTTTCGAAGCCTTTGTTCACATACAGTATTTACTGATTAGCTGGATTATTAATTAGGATGAATTATTATTTTCTTTTAAATCTTGAATTATCAGTTCCATTGCTTATACTTTCCCTGTTTTTGGAATCACCGAACAGTTAATTGAAATGTGCACTTGTCTGAGTCATTGCTCTGTTTCTACTTAGGATCCCACCTTCCCTTATACTGAAACACTGGGTCACAGTCAATTAAAAAAAAAACAAATCTACTGTATGATCAAGTAAACCACAGGAAAACATGATCCCAATGTGTCCAATTTTATTTTTCTCTATTCCAATCTATGAGACATACAGTAACCCCATGGAGTTACTTTATCGCCATGGGGTTACTCAGAGAGTGATATACAGTACAGTCACATGCTTAGAGTTTTACTTTAGCTGTGAGGCATGATAATATTGCAGTTTAAAATTATGATTTTCTGCTCACTATGCAACGATGAGTATTGGGAGTTTTTGCCATCAGCACTCTGCTCTCTAAGCTGCCACGTTTCACTTGCATCAGAAGTTTTCCTGTGGCTACCCTCCACTGCACTGGCTCAGTAATTATCACCCACACCTGCATCCAATTATAATTTTGACTTCTATTCAAACCATCTTTCCTATTCATTTACTGCTTGGTCTAGAATCTTGCCTTGGTCTGGGCATTCTCTCTGCTCTTCTTAGGTTGATACTTCTGGTTTTATCCCTCGTTTGCTCCAAACTTTGAACCTAGTTTACTTACGGTTCTGACCCTGGCCTGGTTTGTGCTCGGACTGTTACTTTCTATCTTGGCAGCTTAACGATCCTGCCTTAGAATCCTTCACAATCATTACATTAGCCTTCACCCACGTAGCTAGAGGGCTGACAAAATGGACACAAGGACAAGTGGTCCAGCTTCACCAGTCAAGAGGGAAGAGCCAAGTCTGCTGCCAGGGTGGTGAAGATGGGCTTGGCAAAGTGCTGTTAAGCAGAGCATGATGGGAAAGAAAAAAAAACTGACGTCTCTTTTCACTTTGAGAAGGAAGGAGCAGGAGTATTGATTGAATTTTGGCTGTAATTTTGGCTCCATTTAATATACATGTAAAGGTTTATTAAATGGTGTTTAATAAACCTTTGTAGCCATACAATAAAACTCAGTTTTACTGGGGTTACATACCTTGAACTGGGCACCTACAGATTGCTTTCTGGTCGAGTTAAAATTGTCTTCTGCAGCCTGCAAGACCTAACACAAAAACATTAAACAAATGTGACAGAACAGAAAGGCTAAAAATCAATGTACTCTTTATGCATTTTAGGAAAACAACTTTTTATCAAAATGTCCATTACAATTTTCTAATTGCATAAAATGCTGCAATTTCATTTTCTGTACTCCCTTATTTTCTTTGTATTTTTTCTTAACAATGACATGCCAGAACCAATACAGTGTACATACAGGACTATGCATTTCACTCACATACTATTTTATCTGCTGTTGCTTCATAGAGGCTTTTCAATTTTTACAAATAAAGGTGATCTGCATTTAAATTTGATTTATTTCGTGTATTAAAATAATCCTTATTATTTTGTAAGATTATGCATCATTTATTTTACTTTTTTTTATAACTAAGTTTGCATTTAGAATTTATTCCGACTAACTTGGAAATCTTTGTTCATGAACCCTTAAAAACAATGGAAAATATGTCTCTAAACAGGAAAAGGGGTGTGTTTGTCTAAAGACAAACCAAAAAAACACACAAAGAGTAATTTAAATGTGAAACTCTGATTTAACAATTTAAGTACCTTGGCTCTTCGTTGTGGCATTAATGTGCCAGTTCTGGATATTGTAGCTGAAATTCAAATGGCAAAACACACTGATTAGAGGAAGGGTGACGATAAATCAAAATTCACATTATGACAGCCTAGGGTGATGACAAATTTGAAACAAGAATGTGATTTAACTTATAGCGAGAAAACATGATCTAAGCCTTTCACTTATTTGGAATTTAATATTTAATTTGTAACCGTAATCTGCAAATAACGAACTGGGTATCCAGGTCTAAAAGTTTTAATAACAGCTTTTAAATATCTTTTGATTATGTCTTTGTTCTCTATTCTTGAGTGACTGTGTGCATTAAGTATACAATGACAAACAGATAAAACATTACAGGTACTCCCTTGTGTAAAGTTTCCCTTAAATTCTGAGACATACAAGTTGACCTGGACTGCATTAAAAATAATGATAATAATAGTAATAAGAACAGTGGCAGATCTTGCCTTGCCAGACATATACTTTAGCATACAAAGCATAGTATTCACTGTTCATATCAATTTATTTCTTCTGATTTGGCCACTGCTTTAATCTGAACTATCCCTGACTGCATACCTGCAAAAAGCACGCTGAGCAAGGGTGTAACACTGTTGATAAATAGCCCCCGGATACTGGCTGGGATCGTGTCCCGGTTTTTTTCCAAAAATCCGCTGGCATTATACTGAACCTAATGAGAGAGAGAGGGAGGGGGAAATAATGAGGTCACAAAATTACTCAGCTATAAAAATTCCTAAATAAGTTTGGTCTAGTTTCAAATAAACCAGTAGTTTATGTTGGCCTAAAAAATTCTGAAGCTATTTGTTTTAAAATAACTAAACACATAATGCTTGATTGCTGTGATAAGTGAAACACAATGTCAGGTGGTAAAGTAATAAATATTTCAAAATTGGCTGATATATGGAAAAATACAGCTTTTTATTTCATAAAGACAAAAAAATATACAGATTGCAAGGATAGAGGAAGAAGCTAAGGAGGTGTGCTTTTAGGAATAAAAGGTGACTTTTGATTTATGCAGTCTGAAGGTCTGCCACTGAATCACAAAAATAAACTAATATGTACTGTACTCTCTTGCTCTCTTTAATAGACTAATTTTTTTAAGTTAAAATATGGATATTTATAACTGGTAAGTTACAGTACATATAAAAAAGAGAACAATGCAATACAGTGTTTTTTAATGTCATGTTGACAATTTTATTCCAATGGGATAGTTCACTGCATTGTCACAGACCATTAAAAAAACATTACTATATTTATTTGTAATATGTATCTTAATTGTTTGTGCTATTAGGAACACTTGTAGTTAAAAAGTACAAAATTAAATTGAATGTAAAATAGAGCTTATACTATATATTATGCATACTGATAGTATTTAGGCATATTTACTTGTATTTTTGCAAGTAACTCCAATACAAAAAGGCAAAGTGCAGATCAGAACCACAGTGGGTCATTAGATCAGAGCTCATCCTGGTTTCCATGGTGTTATGACGACTAGAGAGCCACCCCTCCCCAGACAGGACCCTGGTCTGCAAGCAAATTTGAACTATATTGGCTATTCTTAACCAGTCAATTCCCATATAAAATACTTCACAACTACAGACCTAATTTTAAAGAACTTTAAGAGCTATCTTTCAAAAAGCCATGGATGTTAAGAGTCATCCTGTACTCCATGAGGAACATATGTATCATGTAGATATATATGGAGGGCATGGCTATGTACATGAAGGATTAATCTGCAGTTTGATCATGATGTGCTGCAGTAGGTGTCAGTCTTCAGCTCAGGTGTGAAAGGGAGGTATTGACTAGCAATTAACGAACCCAAGACACTGTTTCTAAGAGTGTGTCTCTTGGACTGAAGACTGCTAGATCTTCACGGCTGAATCTTTGCTTAAAATTCACTGTGTGACTGGGGGACCTTAAAACAGGTCTTTTTATTCTAAAAGTACCTGAACCACTATTACACATAGACAAAAGCCACTCAAATAACTGTGCAACTTGCCCAACACATTTCGTGCATCTGACGTAATTTAGTTTTTTGTTTTGCATTCACCTTTTTTTCACCCCTGAAAATGTTCTTTTGACATTTCAAGTTCTAGTTAAAAATATTACTTTAAAGTATTCACTATAACGTTGTGTAAAGGAACAAGTAAAGGTTTATTCCATGCTGAACAGAAAAGAGACACAAACATTTCAGCAGTGGAGCCTTCTTCAGGTGTGAGGCGGCTACCTACTTGAACTTGTTCAATAACATTGTGTATACTGTACTTGTATATCACACTGAATGTTGTTCGGAATTCAACAAAGGGACATCATTGGAAAGGGGTGAATACATTTTTTACAAGGCATTGTAAGAAAGCACTTTTAAACTTTAATATGTTAAGTCATATGACAAAAAACATGTTGATGACTCGAGGTAGACTAATATACATAAACTGCCATAATGCTCACATGATTACAATGCTCAAAACAAAACTCCAAGCAACGTCTTTTCTGCAGCCAAGGACAGAAACTCAAAACAAGTAACAACCTGTAAAAAAGTTTAAGAGGAATGCTCTTAAATGAGGTCATGTAAACAGGGCTCTGTGAATAGATATAAATGTTGAATGCAGTGTGTTAATCTTTGCTGACACTGGATTCCATTCTTCTGTTATCAGAAAACCACATATTTCCAGTAAGGATCGTGAAACCCCGGAGATTATCCTGGAAGCATAGGGCACAAGGTGGGACTGCAGTACATCACTAAATTATCACAGACGCCAGCATGTCGTTGGAAGCTGGGCTCAAACTGGAGAAAACGTGTGCAGAAATGGGGAACATGTTAAATTGAGACAGAAGATGCCCCCATCTGGAATGAAACCACATGTGTGAGGGAACAATACTACCTGCCAGATCACCATGTTGCTAACCTTACAGGAAAAAACCCTCTTCATCCACCAGTAAAGTGACGTGGGCCAGACAATCTGTGCCTTTGACCCCACTATACAGCAGATGGGGTGTAGAACTGAGAGCTTACATTAACAGCTAAACTAAGAGGTAAACTCAAAAAGACTAGACAGTGCAAGTATAAAGTAGACTATCGCACTGGAGTGAAGATCCCAGAATATTTCCAAAGGGATCTTAGAACTATAGGAGTTTTTTTGCACTCCTATACTCCAGTATAGGAGTGCAAAAAAACAGAAATGTCACAGCCAAGAGAAAGTCGGCTCATCTAGACGTTACTTCACTCAGGAATCCCATTTCTTGAAAGCAGCCAAAATATCACCTTCAACTACATGGTCATTCCATACTCCACAAGACTTTGGGAGAAGAAGTGTTCCCTATTCTCGGTTTTAAATACGGATTTTTACACTGAAGAAATCCACTGGGTTGATTTTGTTGATTCTGAATTCTTGTTCCTGGTCCCCATGTAGTCTTCTCTGTTTAGGACTTAAATGTTCAGTTCCTTCAGCCTGTCAGTGTAGGGCATTCTCTTAAGCCCCACAATGTAACTGGTTCTTCTCTGCACTGGTTCCAGAGCAGCGATATCTTTCTTATAAAGTGGTACCCAAACTTGTAGTATTCTAAATGAGGCCTTACAAGTGCAATATACAGTTTTATCATAACACCTATTGACTTCAATTCTACACTTTTAATTACATATCCTATAATTTTATTTGCATCCCAACATTGTCTAGAACATATAAATGTGTCAACGTAATAAATCTTTTTATAAGCAGCCTTTTCTAGTTCAATGTTTCCTACTTTGTATTTATAGTTTACATTTTTACACCCTGCATGCAAAACCCTGCACTTGCCTAATTTTACATCATCTTCCAGGTGTTTGCATGGTCTTGAATTTGATCCAATTTGTTTGAAACAATTCTATACATATATCTATTTAAATTGCTTTTGCTGTTTTTACAGTGTTTGCTAGTTTTCCCAATATGACATCATCTGCAGACCTGACTAGTCTAATAATGATACCAGAAACTAGATCACTGATCTAGAGCAGCAGTAGTCCTAGTACAGATCCCTGTGTCATTACACTAATTACATCACCCCAATACTCCATGCTAACACGTGTTTCTCTGAATACCTACTACAGCCTGCAATTTGAGAAGTATTTGTTTACGTGGAATTTTAATAAAAGCAACCTGAAAATCTTAATATACCAAATAATATACCCTTAGTGAATCCTTTACTGTTGTTGCCTGTTCAAAGAACTTGAACAAGTTGTTTAGGCAAGATCAACCTTTGCTAAATCAATGTTGACTGTTCTCTTATCTCCATATAACGTTATCTCCATGATTCTCAAATTTAGGACTTATAATTGTTTCTATTATCTTACATTTGACAGAAGTCAAACTTATTGGTCCATAATAGCTTGTACCAGTTTTCTCACCTTTTTTCTGATTATATTAGAATATAGTATTCTTCTGTCTCTGGGTACTACACCTGTCTTAAATGACTGATGAGTTAAGGGCCTCTAAATAACACTTCTTATTCACTGAGTACAGCTGGTAAGATGCCATTGAGCCCTGGGAATTCTTAATCTTAAGTGTTTAAACATTTCTCCCTCTTCAGTTGCTTAAGACTGAAGAACCCAAATACTTGTTTAGAACAATAACCACTTCTCTTTCACCATCTACTGTTTTTGTCATGGAAAATGTCACTTCATCCTTGATGGTTGATTTACTGTTGTAATACTGAAGGAATGTCTTATTTATTTTTCTTACTAATTGCAAGATCCATTTTAATTTCTCTTTTGGCCTTTCTGCTAACAAAAATAAAAGACAAAGAAGGACCAGGGAACCTGGCTTAGAGTTCTGCACAACAGTACTGACCAGAAATGACCTGACCCAGCCTTTCGTAGTTGCTGAAGTCTGATGAGATTAGGTTACAAGGAAGAAACTCCACTGCCAAAGACTCCTTGTTATCAAAAACAAGTAAACATGTAACCCAAAAGAGGAGAGCATAATAAAAGTTGGTAAGCAACTGATCAGAAGCGAACTATACTTTAGACCACAATGGAAAAATGACACTGACCACATTGCTTGACACTGCAAACAGTAGGCAAGCACACCACTCGAGAGGTTTTTCACACATTGGAAGACAGTTCTTATAGTTCCTCCTAACTCAGTGAAAAACAACGCAGACCAGCACTCAATATGTCACTCAGTTGTAACTAGAGGCACTAAGTAAGAATGACATATCAATTTCATATCAAATATCATCAATTTCCCTACGGGATTAATAAAGTATTATCTATCTATATAGTTTCAACATGTTTATATTTATAGTGAGTTTGCTGTGAGCTCTAAAAAGACAGGTGGGTGTACAACTTTTTTTCCCACAAGATTAGAGAAAGCCTTTTTTATATTCACCGATATCTCACAAGAAGATCCTCCTCCGTTCTCTACTTGCGACACTGTATGACATTCCTGTGGTTTTGCATTTTTTCAAGTCTTTAAAATCACCGTGTAAAAAAAAAAACTAAAACAAATTTGTGTTGATGAACAAAGGTTAACTTGAGAGGTCTGTGTGAGAAGCACAGGTAGTGAGGTGTGATGCAGGTATACAGGTAAGCAGACTCACCTTTCCAGCATAGTGCACAACCGTGAACAGAGGGTTATGACCTCTGACAATTTCGTAGTGTGGGTTCCCCTTGAATTTGCCGTTGAGCTTGTCAACAAAATTACTGTCTGTTGCCTGAAGATAAAAAAGGACAAGGGAAGATTCAGGTTAAGAACAATGTATTTACACTTGAATAACAGAAACTTAAAACTGAAGTCATTAAAGTAATTTCTTAAATATTTTTGCCAGACATATTAATTACTTTTAAGTATATTAAAGTTTTTATACAGACAAATCATTTGTTAACATTTTCCCGAGATCACAACTGCTTGATGAGTATTTACTCATGTCAATAAAGCACCATAGGGTGTCATATGAGTAGATCTTGTACAATGACTACATGCTCCCACCTGCTGGGCAATATTAATAATTAAGCATTTTAATTTTAGCATTAAAACTTGTACATGTTCTTGGACTATGGGAGGAAACCTGGGCACCCAGAAGAGACCCACTCGAACACAGACCCACACAGACAGCATTCCAAGACTGGTACTGAACCCAGGGCCCCAGCGCTATGTGGCAGCAATGCTAACCACTGCTCCACCATGCCATCTGCTCAAAATCACTCTTAAAGCAAATGACTCTAGGTGACTGCCTTCAATATAAATAAGGAATAAGGAAATAAATCCTTAAGCGATTAGTTATTATGCATTATAAGAGCTCACTAGAAGAAAAATTGGATTGTTATCATGGGCAGCTGTGTTAAAGAAACTCCACACGTGGATTTACACAAAATACACAAAAAATATATTCAATGATGTGATTTGTTAAAATGTGTTAATTAAATCAGACCTGAGGAAATGTACTTTGCTCATCCAGCAGAGAGAAAATCCCAAAAGGCTTTGCCAAGAAAAGTTCCTGAGTAAACAAGATAAAAGAAAAACATTATGAATTATGGATAGCAAATACACGAGTTAAAACAAACATGTTAAAATACAGGAGTCCTCGCTCTGGTAAACTCTGTATGAAGTGCACTCTGCACTGTGGTCAAAACAGGACAGAACTGATACTTATAGTGGCCACTAGATGTCCTCCTTTTACCATCAATAATCATGGAACTTCAAGTACATTTGGGCATTATTTTAAAACCAGGCATATTTATTTGTATAAGTCACAAGTTTTTCTTCCAAAAAAGAGCTGGTAGAATATAAAACAATATTAGGTAAAGAAATACTATTTCATTTTTTAGGTTTCTTTCTCAATCTGAAATAAGGGGGTAATAAATGATATTACTATTACATTTAATTGCATTAATGTCTTCTAATGACCTTTAAAATGTAAACATTAGTCTGTAGTTTTCCAAATGCTACTTAGCAGTTTAAGACAAGGCAATAGAACAGCTAATTCTTAATTCTAATTCTCACATTTACAAACACATTATCAAAATAGCTTCTATTTTCTTCTATTTTTTAGGAATTCAAATAAAAGCAGACTACCCCTCTACCCTTTCAAAACTACAGGGTCTTTGACAAGTGCTATTTGCAGTGCCAGAAGAGATCACAAGACATTGCTATTTGTGAACAAAAACACATTCCTTTTTATCCTGAGTAAAATCCCCAAGTTTGATGACAAATGCTATAGAGAGAATAGAGAACATTTTTAACTTTTTAAAAGACAACATATCTCTTGGTCCCAAATAAGCTATGTACTGTATACTAAAACACTGACTTGTAAAATCAATAAATAATGGCTTAGTTATAACCAACAAATTTGACTGACTTAAGTGTTGTTATGCCTGGTACCCATTTGAGGACTCTACCACTTTGACAGCATTTCCCATTCTCCAGCTTAGTCAGAGCATTCCATGGTGCATTTGGAAATTATTTGTGTGTATGACTGCGTGAACTTCAACTATGAGCAAGAAAATACTACAAAATTGTTTTCTTACCAGGATGGGTTTGTTGTCTTTAAATTCAATTGTGCTCCATTTAATGTTCTCCTCTTTATATGCATTTTGCTCCATTAAAAAGATGTGCTAAAAATAATAAAAAACAAATTTCACTGATTAATTGTTTTAATTTTATTAAGCTGATGCTTTTATTCAAAGAATATTACATTTTCTACACATTTATTTACAGTATATACAATAGCTGGGGTATTTTACTGATCCTTACTTAAGGGTACAACAGAATGGTTCTCTGTCCAAAACCCCAAAAACTACTCCACACCTCACTATGATTTACTAATATCAATAGAACTTTTTTGTGTTATTAGATAACGTACTAAAGCAGAATGAGACAAAATCATCTTTCATATCACTGCTTTATCACAAAAAGAATGAGACAATATATTTTTCCTACTATTAATGGTTAAAGCACAAGACCATAATATTCTTGATCTATGACAGAAACTAATAACAGCAGACCAACATGATAAACATAATTCTATCTTTAAAATTTGACTACAGATCACTTTCCTATAATTGTAATGTTTTGGAAATGGCCCTGTTCTTGTTAAAAAAAAAATCAGAAAAATGAGCTGCTAAAATATAAAAAAAAAAATATTTGGCAAAGAAGTATTTTCCATATTGAAATATGAGAGCACTAAATGGCAAAGCCTAATTCCTGCTTATGTTAAAAAAATGTCTCCAGTCATTGGCAGGCACGTCATCATGCTGCAAGACAATGATACAAAACACACTGCTAACAAACTCCTACAAACAAGGAGTTCATCAAGGAAAAAAAGAGGAAAGTCTTAGACTGGCCAATCAATGATATAATTCCAATCAAGCATGCGTTTCAGAAATCTCCCAAAACAAACAACAACTGAAAATGGCTGTAGCACAGGCTTGGCAAAAAATCTCAAAAGAACAAATCAAGAGTTTAGTGACATCAGTAAGTCATAGGCTTGATGCACTTATCCTGTGCAAAGGATCTTCACCCAAATACTAAGTTTTATACTTCTTTAATTTACATTAATTTGTCCCATTACTTATTCTCACCTAAAATGGGGGGATGGAAAACAAAAAGTAATATTATGATAAAATAATTAGAACATACAGTATATGCACAGAAGTACCCAGAAATAAAAGGTACTTTTTTCTGTTGTACTTTCTGTACATCCTGTACTTTTGCCTCATATTCATCTTATCTAATCAAATCCTAATTGCTTGAGTATAGCAATTTTGACTTCACTGTCCCAGCACTTATAGAGGGCGCTGTATATGGGTTCTATATGTCATTTTTATTTGCAGTGTGGAGTATTGTACATACTATATTGTATATTCTATTTACAGTACACCTTATAAACTTAATATATTTGTATCTAAATGTTATATTGTATATATATATTAATTCACCCCAGACAAAAGGTATGATAAGAAAATCTTAATGAAGCCATTAAAAACTGACTTGTCATGGTTTACAATTTTTCAGATATTCAAAAACTGATGTGGAAAAAAACAACAACAACAGTGGGGAAAAAAAATATTTCTATGTATTTCAGTGGTTTCCAAACATGGGCCTAAAAGAACTTTGTGTCTGCTGGTTTTCATTACAGCCGAGCTCTACATCTCCAGTGTTAACTGATGACACATTTGATCTATTTGCTTGATTAGACTTTTATTTAAATTATTTCTTCAGTCAGTCCTGAGTTTCAAAAATGAATAATTTCGGAATACAAAACGTTACACAGCCTTTTCTTTTCTTCCTTGCCCTTAGTTCTGACTAACGAACAGACGTGGAAATGACAGTATATCAGACAAGCTCACAAAGAGCATTTTTTAGTTCTGCAGAGGTCCAGCCGGTTACATTTCAGGCAACACACCTGAATGAGGGCAGTACATAAACAGAGAAATGTATACAGGCTTGATACTAATTACAACTGTCAAGACATTTTAAGAACTGAAAGCAAATTTTCAAAATGCTCCAGACAGAAAAATTGAAATCAGTTAGTCTGTGATTATGACTTCAGCTGGAGCACAAACCAGAAGATGCAGTGCTCCTCCAAGACCAGGTTTGGGTGCCACTGCTATACAGTATACCATGGCAGACAAATGCTGGCTATGACTAAAGGACATTGCATTAAACCGAGGCACTGAAGGACGTTTGTGGTCCACAAGATACTACAATAGTTTTTACCCAACCAGATTCAAAAGAAGCTCCTTATCTAAAGCTAGGTACTTAAAATGCACAGTACCAAATATAACGCACAATTCAGAAGAACTTACAACTCATATTTAACCTCACTAGTCGTCAACTTACATGGTTAAAGAAATACTGCAGCTGTTCATTTGCAAGGTTAATGCATAGCTGTTCATAGCGGTTCACAGCAAAATTCTCAAATCCGAAGATGTCCAAGATTCCTGCATAAGAAGTCAGTGAAGCAAACATTAAAAAATAAAACAAAGGTTTATAATAACTGTACACTTATTTCATCAGAACATTTTCTTCCCCCTGCTTACACATTGTCTTGTGAATTTGTCACTCATGAGGCCATATTTTGTATTGCCCATCTGGCTTAATTGCTACAAACTGGGCAGTGAAAAGAACTGCAGTCTTCTTTGATTTGTTTGACAACTCTCAGATATACTCACTTCCCAATTAGGTTAGAAACTGTTTGGCCGACATCACTGAAATGAGACTGCATATTGAAATAAAAGAAAACAAAAGGTATCTCTAAACAAAAAAGGAAATTTTATGACTTGTTGTGGACAAGGCAGTGTAGGTAAACATGACAACAAAGCCAGTGTCAACACAGAGTATCAACTGAGAACGGAAAATAAATCATTTGTAGGACAAACAGCACATGCATGGTCAGATAATGACCTGCACAATTACAGGGAAGAACTTACACTAATGAGCAACATTCACAAAATATTACTGCTTTCTGTATACACCATGTATAAATATTCTTTAGTTTAAAACTCTTGAGGAAAAACATAACAGGTACAATTTATATTTAAATGGACAGAAAAATACCACAATATACAGTATATGAAGTTTGCATAAGTAAAATTTGTCTGTATAGGCGCACATTCTGTTTTTGTGTCTTGGAGTTACATGAAATAAGTAAGACAAGCTAAACTATAATTTAGAGACATTTAAATCTTGATTTGATGACATCTTTAGTTGTATGAAAGTGTCCTTAAAATATTTCCTGATGTATCAAAAAGAATGGCAGAGATGACATCGATACAAAATTCTGAGCTATCATGTTTAACTTACTTGGAGTGGGTTCTATTCTGAAATTAAATTTATTCTGAGTTCTATTCTAAAAATTAGAGTTTCCAACAAAAACGTGTTCTTTCTGGCCTTGAAAAAAAATGGATTCCTCCACATTACTACAACAAAAAAATACCCCTTCATTAATATAGTGAAAACAGAAAACTGACAATTACATAGTGATGTTAAAAATTTTTCACAATCTGCAGCACTTCTGTGTAAAACAGTATAGAGAAATTAAATGATAGGTTTATTGCCTTTAATTTAATTCTTATTGCTTACTGAGTATGTGACTACAAAGCAGCTTTTCAAGTACATAAATCTGTTTAATAGCAAAACTTTTACTAACTCACCTATTTCCATTAGCTCTACATTAGAATCCACATTGGGGGCCAGAAGTTCATTGATTTTACTCACAATCCAGCCAAACACTCTACCGTAGGCTACTTTGGCAATGGAATCGCGTGCGTCTGAAAAGAAATAGAGAACAAGCCCAATCATTAATGCTTCTTCACTTCAAAATGAAGAGTTAACATGCATGACCACCACATTGCAAGAGGATGAGAGCAAAGTACTGCTGACAAAAATGATGTGAAGCAACACTTGTACCCATTTACAGTAAGTGCCTCTCAAGCAAAGGGCAGAAAGAGCTGCATTACTCAAATCAAGTCTCATATTTTGAGTTCTTCAAGTCTACTTCTTTACACTGAATAAGGAGAACATCAACAAGATTATGCCACAAAGACCAGCTGTAGCGGCTTTTATTATCTCTTAACCATAACAGCAGCAGAGTGCTAAGTGCTAAGTGCTAAGTGCTAAGTGCTAAGTGCTAAGTGCTAAGTGCTAAGTGCTAAGACACTAAAAAACAAGAACTCAAAATGCAAGACTTGATTTGCACACCCGAAGAAGGCTCCAACGGCCAAAACGTTGTGTTTTCTCTCTCCTTTTTTTCAGCATGGAATAAACCTATTACTTGTTCCTTTGCAGCCTACGCATGCTGATGCAGCTACCCACCTAAACTACAGAGTGCTAAGTAGCTGTGTAGAAGTCAGAACAATGCAACAATGCAAACAATGCAAAGCAACAGTACAGCATGGTCTCTCATCACAATGAGACATCAGATTTAAGGCAAACTTCTTTTGTACCTTCGGCTTGCTGTTGATTGTGGTACCTGCGAATGGACTCCCCTCTAGTAACTGACATAGTGCAAATCAGGCTTTTCAGCAGTTCCTCTTCCTGGACCCCAAACTGTCCCTGAAACCCACAAAAAAAAACAGGTAAGATGACAGATGAAATGTTTGCTCTAACAAACAGCTAAGGTTCACTGGGTAACGGTTGTGATTTTTCAGCACCGTAAGGCAAGCTGACACTAAAAAAAAAGAAAAAAAAAAGAGTATGACTTACACATAACATCAGAGACAATGGCTCAGGCTATGGCAAGTCTTTGCAACTAAAGCCAAAATGTGGTTTTCTTCACCTTGCCAAGCTTTAGAAACTGCCAGTGGACCAAATCCTGTTTTACTGAATCAAGATCATGTTTCATATTACACTTTGTATGCTGACTATTATCCCTCAAGAAAAAACAATGGTTTAGGAATGTTAAAATATCAAAAACAGGACCATGTGGCTGGACATTAACTTAAAGCCACATTACATCTTATGTATTCAAATCTCACAGCTCAAATAAAAGCAAAAGCCATCACACCAAAAGCCTCTCTTGGGAAGGATTTGAATACTCCCGAGTGACCCAGTAAAGATACATCACTGTAATAAGCTATTTTCTTACATTAAGTTATACATTACAGCAGTTTATCCAAAATAATAATTAAGCTACTGGCAAATGCATTTAATTTTTTACAAATTCACAAGTACAGTAACATGTGAAACCTTTAATTCAGCGCAGGTTTTGTTTTATAGAGTAGAAACAGACCACAGTGCAAGCCTGTAACCATTTTAAAGACACAGAAACTATGTTTAGCCACAGATTTTTTTTATTCAAAAGTACATTAATCACATTATCTATTGTTTGTTGAATAAAATATTGAAATTATTAATATTACTATTATTGTTTAAATAGTGGAATGCCTCATCAGCCAGAGAGCAAAATAAACCACCACATATTTATCGTTTTTTTCCTGTGTTCTGTGCACCACAATAGCGATCATTGATAAAGACATAACAACAGAGTACAGTCCAAGTTACCAACAAAATCCACTGTTGTGTTTGCACTGTTGTGGGTTTTCTCGACTGTTCTTATTGCACATCTATACACTATAATACCTTCAGTATTTAAAAAGCAGACAGCACTGGATATTCAGTACATAATATTAAAAGGTGATGAAGCAAGGCTATGGCAAAAAAAAACTAAAAAAGAAAGTGACAGATACTGTAAGAAAAAATGTTCAGTAGTAAAGAATTTATTTTTTCTAAATAATTTAATGACACTTATGCACACTGCCTGGAAAAAAGTCAAAATTCAAAAATTAAATAAATGTCCTACCAAAATAATTAATATAAACCAAACACCTCATAAAAAGGAGATTTTAAGAATGCTTAAAATGATAAACTATTTGTAGAAGAGTAAGTGACAAATATTTAACAAAGGAAATTTTTGCTCTGACCCCTTAAATGCGATATCTCAATGTTTTCACAAAAGAGATGTTGCTGATTATGAGTGGGACGTGCAGCAACACAGTTTAATAAATGTCTGCCTTGGCTCTTGAAACACAGACTGCAGTTTCCAAATATAGCATCAATGCTCTGTTAGAAACGCATGCAGCTTATCTTTGGCGACCAGATGTAAACTAAGCACAGTGATCTGTTAAAATCTTTTAAACTGGTGAAGGGCAGCAATAACTCATGTTTAAATATCGACAAAGGAAACCGAAGGCTGAAACCCCATGGCAAGGGGCTGCAGTTAGACCTTAACCAGTTAGAGGTCATAGTATAACTGTCGCCTTAGTGCAGCCAGACAATGGGCAACGTTCATTCACTTCGCATGTCTAACGCTGATAACCTACAGTAGCATTGTCCCTTTGCACACCTCTACCCTGTTCCTCAGCAACAGGCTGTTGCAACACTCCTGGGGCTGTAAGAGTGGAGGTTCAGTCTTGTACAAGCCAGCTCTGACACAACATTGTATCAGAAGATTTATTTTGACACTTCTTTTGTAGAAGGCTTGCATTCACTATTCTCTAATAACACACACACTCACACCTAATGATTTTCAGACCGTACTGTGGTCTTCTCTATTGCCCAGAACGTCTGCCACCAAGCATTGGCATTGCATAAAACATAAAAGAGTTCTGTTTTTAACTACAAAACTGTTTAATGGAAGGCAAAAGTGCTTTTAAAATCAAGATCGACAAAATCACACTTCACCTCTTTTCTCATGGAAACTCCGACACCAGATTTAAGGTCAAGCAAGAATAGATGTTTATTTCTGGCCATGTGTTATGGTTGGGCAAGGGTGGAAAAAAAACAACGTGTGGTCTGGTCTTAGCTCCTAAACATGTTTTGTTCTGAACAAAGCCTTATAATAGATCCCTTCATGTTTAGTTACTAAACGACGAAATTGTGTGATAACTAAATTCAGTCCATCCCGTATTAGTACTGAAGAGATTACAAGGTTTAGAGATTATAAGGTCATTACTGTGAAATGACCTAAATGGGACAAATGGCCTCTTCTTGTCTGTAACCCTTCTTATGTTCTTAATGTACAGTATGAGCCTGTGTCACACAAGAAAATATTACATTTTAGTTGTTCAGCACAGAGATTGTGTACTTTTTGGTTTTACGGTACACATCCTTAAATGTGTCATGAAGACCTCTGAATGTATTTAACACATTAGGTGTGTCCCAGGACCGTAGTGGGACTTCAAGGTCCTGGGCAGGACACCAGCTCACTGCAGGGGCACAAAGAAGGGAGTAGAATGTCTGACTAAAGTAGCCAGCATGTCTTTGGTAGGAAGGGTGAAACTGTAGCACCAGAAGAAAAGCAACAAGAAACCCTTAGTGTGAAAATGCAGGCTTCACTCTGGCTTGCCTTCAGGGTGCTATCCGATGTGAAACATTAAGTGAAACACATTTTGCCTATTTTCAACGTGCTTAATCATCTAGCCTCAAAAGAAAAGCAATACAGAAAAATCTGATTTATGTTTTCAAACACAGTCAATATGGGCTATAAAAGCTGCAAAGCCCTTGTCTTTAGTTTCCATTAATAGATTCAGTCTGTTCAAACCACATTCTAAATGTACCTTCCTATATATTTCATGTATTTGTTATGTTCTATAATTCATGTTCAAGGTGAATATTAATATTAGCTCTTCACTGTTATCGTCCTCATAATTTTAGCACTGTTACACTTGTACAAAAAGAGATACTAGGTTCATTTCTGGTGTAATGGATATTTCTTTCATACTGTAGAAAGGTTAAAAAATTTAATCTCTTCAGTCTGTGACGGGAGATTAGAGTGGGGCTCGCCAGCAGTACTCAAAGTGCTGAAAGGTATTAAAGTTTATTCAACTTCCAAAACATTGACAATGAAACAAAAACACAGGAATCCAAAATGGAAGTCAACAGTTTTTGCGCAATTCAGACTGAGGATAGGATAGACATATCACAGATAGTCTAAAATAAGATGCTCATCTATGTTGTTCAAGCCATTAACCTGGCTTTTCTGAAAGAAAGAAAGCCATAATTCACAGGAAAGGGACAAACATGTGCAAATACATTGGATGCAGCTAAAATACACTTTATCCTACTCTATAGGATTATTACTTTCAAAGGGCTAAATTTGCTAACCAAACTTTCTCTGGAAGGAAGATTAGGGGAAGCAAAACTGATGCTACCAATATGAGCCAATGAAAAAGGAGTAAAATTCCAAAAACACAGGAAAGTTTGAAGCAAAGGGAAAATTAAGCATTGTAATTGTAACGTGGGAGGTGTTTCAGCTCTAGAAAATTATCCCACATCAAAGTTACCACAGACTGCAAATGTAGTATTTCATTAAAAGGATAGGGTCCTTTGCTATACACTACTGTTGAACATTAAAAAAAGCTAAATGCTTTTATTTTATTGAAACTATTCTGGGAAAATAAATGCCATTATAAAGACAATACCATTTTTGTTTAAAAAAATGCTTCTTGATATTACATATGATATTCAAATATCTTGTGAAATGTATGCTTTTTCAAAGAATAAGCAATTCAAGGCTTAGTTTTAATTGCCAGAAAAACAAGTCAAGCTATGACTTGTTTGGATGTGAGTAATTATGAGAACATATACACTGCCTTTATTTTTACAAAGGTTGTGAGAGTTTGTTAGAGATTCTAATTTAGTTCACATTGTTTATCCTTATTTCTAGATTCTGAACATTTGGATATATTCTTCCACCATTTTGACAGAGAGAGAGATAAGTAACACTCACTGCAGCAGCTTTGAGCCAACCAACAGACTTTGCTGTAACTTTCAGCATCTCATTGTCCTGTGGCTCAAACATAATGTTCCCTAGAGACAAGATCCCAGCCAGGATTGTCATCATGTCCACTTGCTCCTAAAAAGAAAATGTAAAAGCAATCATAACTACACAAAACCATAATTTTCTAAAGATGATCAGCATATCAAGCCTGCACCCAATTTATTCCTGATTGTTTAAGGAACATATAGTTTACTAGTATATACCGTACATTTACATTTTACTTGTGCTCTATGATTTTGCATCTATTTTGAGAGCTGAGAAAAGTAAATGTCAAAAAGATCAAATCCTAAAAAATACGATAAAGGCAATAACAAGGTGAAAATGTTTTGGTGTCATGGTGTCATTTGATTAATTGATCATCTGTGACTAATAGTGATTATGTCCACGTTACTTTGAGAATTAATTGGACACAGGTGCTCTGGTACAGATCCATAGAGCATGTTGTGGTATTCCTGGATGCTCTGGGCCTTCTGCTGACGTGATAGGGAGCTTACTTACAGAGCTAGAGATCCACGTTCAATATCTGAAAATACCTAGAATATCTGACAATGCCTAGAGTGATTTAACCTTTTAAATGTCAAACCTAATTCTCTCTCTCATCCTAGCATTAATCCTGCATCAGCAGGGTCCGCTTGTCGGGGAGGGGGGGGCATAGGCATAGGAAATTTGTCCAGGACACCGGGGTTACACCCTTACTCTTTAATGACCACAGAGAGTCACGACCTCGGTTTTACATCTCAACAAGTTTTACTGCTTGTTTACAGTATAGTGTCCCCGTCACTATACTGGGGCATTAGGACCCACATGGACCTCAGGGTGAGTGCCCCGCTAATGGCTCTTCCAGCAGGAACCTTAGTTTTTCCCATGAGGTCTCCCATCCAGGTACTGACCAGGCTCACACCTGCTTAGCTTCAGTGGGCTGCCAATTGTAAGCTGCAGGGTGACATGGCTGCTGGCTAAATGTCAAGTCTAATTGAAATCAAGAAATAAAAGTAGAATATAAAAACAGAATATTTATGCCACCCTAATCAAGAAAACAAAACCTCTGTGCCATCAGTTTGTTGGATTAACACTTCAGTTGGAAATTGCCAAAAGGACCATTAAGTACAATTAAGATATTTCCCAAAACTGTAATAAAAGAATAATAATTATCTTTTACAATACATAAAGGCATTGTTTTTTTTAACTTTGACAAAAGCTGACATTTCAGATCTTTTTCCACTTTGCATTTCTGAAGAGGATATTCATGCTGGAAATCACAAAACAGCATTAGCCAGGTCTTCAGATAAAATATTTGTAATATCTGTAATAAACAGTATTTACTGTAGCATACAACAAATGTAGATTTTTTATTATTTTTTCAGTTGTCTTAAATGTACAGATTTTGCTCCTCTTAACTGTGGTGGCTTTTTTAATGAATAAAATGCTACGCAAAATTATTCTGAGACCAGACACACAAAACACTAAAACAAATACCCTCACTGAAGAAGTGTTTTAGGATTGATATTGTAGAAGTAACATAAATAAAAGCAAGTCTGAAAAAGAAATACCAGACACCTGAAGGACAAAAATGAAGGAGTGTCGTGTATGAAATAAATACCTTCCATTTTGCTTCATCATAGTTCACTGCTCATTCTAATCTGTTGAATAACCTTACGGTATGCATGAAATATTTAAGTCCCCTTTTCTTCTTGAATGCTAGAGCACAAAACAACCTCTCACCTGTTCTTCGAATCCAACCATATCCATAGCATTGCACACCTCACTGTACTTTTTACTCCAGTAGCTCACCATCTCCTCTGTGCCGTATTGGCCATTAAGATATCTGCAAGGAAAATAGCAACATTGTAAAACTCTGTCAGTGTCCAGTATACTGTACATACATGCAGCTTATCTAATGCTACATTTCAATTTAAACATTGTCTACATTTTAAAATTGCTTTAAGAAAGATCAGGATGTTCATTCTAAGACCACATTAAGAATATCACTAACATTCCTTACTGCTAAAATAACAAAATATGTTAAAACTGGTTACTGTGAGGTATCTCTGCACTTAACCGAGGTGTGTATAATAATAAAGAGAAAGCAGAGCACTGACAAATCAAATGAATTTATTGCATTAAATGTTATGATACTGAGCACAGCATTAAAGAGGAATATGTTTCAGTGCAATTCTTGCTTTCCATGGTAAACTAACTGGAATTAACTGCAAAAGATGTATGGAGTGGGGTGTTTCTACTGTATATACAGTATATTGTACCTTAAACCACTTCATCTACCACTGAAGTGCAGTGCCCATCCAAGTGATGTGCACCAGCTTTCTGCACCAGCAGCCCCACTACACAGTAGATCAGATGGAGAAGTAAGACAATGCTTTAGGAACTTTAGGGAGGTTAGACTGTGCAAGGCCACAGCGATTAGTCAGGACTCTGGGGGTAAACACTCTATGCATATGAAAAGAGTAACTTTAATGAGAAGATTGTTAGTACTTTTATCCAATGGATGGCGGCTCCAATAGCACAGTGTATTTTGAAAATTATTGCCTAGAGGATAGAGTGTCACCTGTTGAGCCACCAAGATCACTTACAGCAACAACCTGGTTTCCTTCAAGGTCTCCGTTCCCAATACTAATCAGGCCCATCCTTGCTTAGATTCAGAGTTCTATCTGATGACATCAGCTGCAAGGAGGTAACACTGCTTCTACTTTGATTCGTTTTTAGTTGTGTATACAGATCCAGATTGAAATACCAAGCCGTGGGATCACAACAGAACATCAGAATCAAAGGTCTTCTACCCCTTTTACACTGCATCAGAGGTCACTGAACAAGACATTAGAGGATGGTTTTGTGAAATAAACAGCAATGTTATCTGTATTATTTTTAATACAAGGAACATCATTCCTTTATGAATGTGAATAAAGATGTAATCCCTCTTATTACAGATAAATCAATATTCAAAAGTAAAAGAGTGCTCTGTTAGCGCAGGTACTCTATAAGCAACAATGAAACAGAAAACCTGGTGGGACATGCATGGATTAAATTAAAACACCTTGCAAAAACGCTTTTTTCTAACAGCAGCAACTATGCGAGGCTGAATTTAAAGTTTATCTAATCTACAGGCACAAACAACCACAGTTGCTTTTATATTTTTAACCACTGATAAAATGGGCTGATTGACAATATGTAATAGGTTTATTCCATGCTGAAAAAAAGAAGAAAGAGAACACAATGTTTCGGCCGTGGAGCCTTCTTCAGGTGTGAGGATTGGTGTGATTGGCAGGTGTGATTGACAATATGCAGTCTTTTTACTAAGGCAACCTTTTTATTATTAAAAAGCAGCAAATATTTAAACCACCTTTTATTCTGAGTGACAGTTTCTAGCCTTAAATATGTAACAACAGTATGTTTTTATGAGTCTGCACACACCCAGGAAATGTGATGTATTAAAGAACATATTAACATGATAAGAAAGAGTAACAGTTGTGTAAAACTTCAATCAAATTATGCAACTGAAGACAGCTCCCTCTTAACCAACATAAACTTTTGATTTCAGTGGTGGGGACAAGAAATTGTAACTCACCTGTACTGGGTTGGATCCAAGAGTCCATAGATTTCCTTATCTTCTTTGGAAGTCCCAGCCAACATGCAGTAGAAGATGTGAAAATTTCTTTCCCCCTCATCCTGATGTACCACACGCGATTTCTCCAGCAAGTATTCATTGATTTTGGCACCCTTTACTGCAAACATTAAATGTTCCGTGGAAACAGAAAAAAAATGCCACTGATAAATGCCCAAACTAAGCTTAAAAAATGTTTTGCTTACGACAAAAAGTTCTCCATTCGCCCCAGTTTTTGACAGTTTCTTTTCAATGCAAATGAGAGCAAAAAAGTACTTCTGAGTCTTTAAAAAATACTGTACAACATAGATAAGTTATTGACAATATTTGAATAATTTGGAAGGAGTCTGAATCAAAACAAATTAATAAATCAACATTACAAAGGTGGGTTTAAAGTTTATTTTGAATAATATTAAAATATACCGGATTTGAAGATTCATAAAGGTGAGTTCTTGAGCTTCCGTCTAAGACCTTGTCATTAGTTTTGAACAAAACTGCGCTGTGGATAATAAACCACTTTTTAAAAACTAGTTGAAATAATGGGAAAGAAATATTCTTTGAAAGTTTTGAGTACATCCATCTAACCATCTGCTTTCCAAGTGCCGAGCCTACCCTGGAAAAGCAACAGGTGCAAGCAGGACACACCTGAGACGGAATGCCAGTCACAGGGTACAGACACCGACACAAACATTCAATATCTTATGCATATGCAAATGCCCACAATACCAGAAATCTTTCCAGTAAACCCATGAACAGAAGTGAAACCCCACCTGACGCGCTCTGGAAACGGAGTTGAATGTACTTTCCAAATCTGCTGCTGTTGTCATTCATGACAGTCTGAGCGTTACCAAACGCTTCCAGCAGGGGATTGACCTGCAAAATAAAAGAGATTTTTCTGAATTTAGTTGGTTTTGAAATAAAAATAAAGCTGTAACCAATTTGATTTTTTTTTTATTTTACAGTATGTACTAATCATCTCAGGTTGGACTTCCTTTACAAATACTGGCAAGAATAAATAGAATTACATCTTGCATTATAAAAAAATCTATTGAATATTTCATATGCATATGAAATGTCGGAAAATGTTGAAATAAAAAAAATCATTTAGTGATGTTGCATCACTCAGGTTACTGCAACAGAGAATTATTTTCCTGGTTTTGCCAGGACCTTCCTATCTGTCAAATATACTTAATCTCTTACAGATGAATGCCTTTAAAGGCTATTAAACAAAGATTATAATTACTATTCTAAAATAGGCATGTGAGATATAGGAGTATTCCAGTGTTATGTTTATGTAAATAACAGCAAATACCTTCTGATTAAATATTTGTACTGCATGGCTTAACAGTTTTTTAAAAACCTGTTATACAGTATCTGTCCATGCCAACATATTTGACAGGTATCGTTTTCATGAAAGAATTGCAATCTTAATATCTGAATATTTAAAAATCAGCTTGTTTTTGTAAAGGGGAAGAATGTATGACACTATGATATGTTTGTAAAATAAGCAATAAAGCACCAACATCTACAAAAGTATGTATATTTGGAGAATTGATTGAGGAGAATTCAGCCACTCTAATATATTTTGAGCATGAGAGCTAAAATAAACTGCAATGAAGAAAAGTGTTTTCTGGCAAACAATATGTTTTGGCCTAATCACCTAGAATGTAACTTCATACAGTACACACTCAATGTACAGTCTATGCATGCATCTTCGCAGTTTGTGAAGGAAGGATTTACATAAAGTTATAAATCTGGTCTGTTTGGTAGTTACAGGTTACCGATTTAAAGATCTCATCCACCTGTTTCTTAAAGGATGCCAAGGTATTGTCTTCAACCACATGACTGCATAGTTTGTTCCATACTCCCACAACTCTTTGGGCACAGAATGGCCACCTGTTCCAGGTTATAAATGCACATAGTATCCACTTGTTTTCTCTGGCTTATGTTTCAATGTTCATTCTGAAGCAACCTGAGTTGCTTCATTGATGTTGTCATTGCCTATTAGGTTATTGAGCACTTGTATCAGGTCCCTTTATTATATTCCCTGATTAAGGTTCAGGTCTTTCAGCCTTTCACTGCAGGCTATTTTTTAAGTTCTAAAATACATGTAGCTGATGTGATTCTCTGGACTGATTCATGAACAGAAATATTTTTGTAGCACAGTAATACAACAATCCTTTTTTTTTTTTACAATAAGCAACTTTCTTCATGGGGTCTAAAAATAACATAACACATAACATCTAACATCCACTGATTGGCACATTAACATTTGCAACTGTTCACCTTTGCCTGGTGCTGGAAGGATTCCTGAGAAAATTACTAAATAAATCCTGCTCTTCAGCATCTTACCAAGTAGTTTCAATTTGTCCTGGATTAAATTTTCAGTTCATACCAATCACATTTGTACCCACATGGACAACAGCAAGTCCAGCAGGTCACTGTTGGCCCTGTACACTATGGGGACTTTGTCACCTCTACTCCCAAGAGAAAGCACAATGTTGCTGTCTCATGGTCCTTGCTACCAATTTCTGTTGCTGTGTTCCAGAGAATGGAATCGCCAACAACCACCACTTCTCTTTTTGGATTCTAAGTAGTGATGACATCAGTTGTGGTCAAGCCCAGTGTTTGAGATTTGGAGGTGTTATGATGTTCCATGTCTGATTCCGTTTGTCCTCTGCTAAAAAACTACTACAACTCCTTGAATATTGCTTATATACTATATAAATAGAGAAACTGCAGTATTAAATGAAAATTATAAGTAATTTATAATTACACAGGAAACAAAGTTGGCATCTGCAGAATGTACTGTATACCATTCACAAATCAAAGTATTTATTCCCCAGAGATGCTGCCACCAATGAGTCCTTAATAAATATAAATAAATTAACAATTTATTGGATTAACAATGCACATCACCACTTCCTTTAGGATGATTGCAGTAGACATTCTACATTGAGCACTGAATGTTGCTTTTTTCAACATTATTTTTTATTATATATTATTATTTTACCTTTCTGGACAAAAAAAAACAACAAACTTGAAGCTAATTTAGATAGAATGTACCACTACTGTACTTTTTTTTTGGCTTTCTATATATTATTACATTAATAGGCTTTTTTGTGGGGTTACCAAAACACCATGCCAAAGGAGAAAGTCCTGATTAATGTGATTCATGTGGCTTTCTGCTTTATATATGCAAATAAATGACTGCTTAGAGGGGAGGTGTTAATGGCAGGAGCCTTTAACATGTTAAGCCAACACCTAAATACCACTACTACATTAGCATTCTTAGGATTCCCTGAAAGTTACCGAAGGGCTGCCTTTCTTGGTATGCTTTTATAATGTTCAGTCCCCCCTGAAAATAAAAGTTTATTTTTGACTTCACTGCCTGATGTTTCATGGGAAAGCTAGTGCAGCCTTTTGAAAGCCAACCTGCTAATAATGCACAGTAAGTAGATCTGCCTTTCCAGCTCCACCCCAACACTGTAGTGTCAACAGGATACGCCAAGAGACACCAAGAGCAAAACTTGTTCTTCCACCTGTATTGACATTATGCATGGCCAAACATAAGCAGCTGTGACCTCTGTGGATTGCAAAAGAACAAAGCACAAAAAAACAAAATGATTAAGAAATTAATAAAGACAGACATTGTGGCTGTACTATGTTAGTTTTCATGTTCCTGGAACTTGACATTTACTACAGTAGCATTGCTGTTGTACAATTTTGTAACTAAATGCCTAGTTAAGGTGAAGACCAAATAATTCACATATACTTCATGCATTTCATTGTGTTACCCGAGTAAGCTTATTTTATTGACGAAAGGCAATAGGAGAATACAAGTCAGTGTGCATTGCCCAAAGGTAAGAGTTCAATTCTTGATAAAAGTTCAACATATACCCATATAATCAAAAGAGTTGCAGCTCTATTCAGTTTTATTAACCACACCTTTGAAATGTTTGAATTGTTAAAAAGAAAATTGTTTCATCTTGCATTTACAGTATGTCTTAGTGCAAGTCTCCCGCTCCTGTTGAAATGAAATCCTTTTTAATTCCAAAATATAAAAGTACTTTAAGGTAATGGCAAGCTTTTTAAATTGTACTTTCAAAATACATTGTTCTATAAGCAAATCGACAAAGAATGATATAAAAATACAGTGTTTACCCTGGCACATATACCAACAGGCTAAGAAGGCTCTCTTTGAAGCTAATGTAATTAAACCTGGTCAATGACTGTAAAAAAGTAATTTCTTTCTCAACTGTTTATAAGATCCAGCACTTAACTCTCGTTACCGTCCCTCATCTCAATCAGTCACACAGCAGAGTCAACACACTGTCTTTTCCTACCTCATTCTATCCAGTGTGGACATTTAATATCATATGCAAAAAACAGACTACATTTGCATGCTTTGACAAAAACATGGAACCAGTCATACCAATTTTTAATCTATAATCAGAAAACACCACCAGCAGCACTGCAAGCTTTAATTTACCCACTCTACATTATTTACAGTATATACTCTGAGGTTATAGTAAAGACGTTGAGAGAACCACAACATCATACTAAACTCAGAGGAGGCTGCAGACCTCAGGATACAGTTTATGACGCTTAAAAGTGCTTTCCAGGACTAATAGAAAAGAAGAAAATTGGTTTGCAGGGTTAATGCAAAACATGTTTGTAGACAGTAGTACTAAGCTTTAAATATCAATCAAGTCTGGAAAGCTACAGGTATGTCTAACTCATTAAAGAAGAGCTCCACAAATTATTTTGATTACTTTCAATTAAAATCAAGTCAATCATCCTCAAAGTTCACTTGGCTGCTACTGTACCAAATTAAAACTGAAAATATCATTCCAAATTTTTACTTTACAGTATGTGAGTACTAAAAAATAGAGGGGACAGCATACAGTATCTGAATATTCATTTAGCGATGACACCACAAAACTAGCGATTTCAGCTGGACAGCACCAAATATTCTTAGTTGACTTTACAAAGGTAAATGACAAATAGGACTGAAGACTCATTTGCTATTAATGTTGTAAATGTACTGTACACGTTTTCCTGGGATCAGCACTACTCATTTTCCTTATATACAGTAGCTCACTACTCAAAACTATAATGCAAAAGCACTGATCAACACATTCTAAATTAATATCTCCTTTTATATGTGGCACCATTTACATTAAATATTCTTAATGATAGCTATACTTGTGAAGAAATATACTAATTTGTAGCATGAACTTGAAACCTTAAAAAAAGAGTTTTAATGGCAAATAAAAATATTTTAAAATACAGTTTCTTTTCTGATTGAACTGTAAAACCTTTGCATAAAAATGACTTGCATATATTGAGTATAATGATTTTTCCATGGAATTCTGAAGTTATAACATCCATTCATTTTTTAATGACTTCATCCAATTCAGGGTCATTCCACAACACTGAAAAAACTCCAATCAAAAGTTGTCCATCCTCTCAGAGATGTACAGAGTACTGCATGCACCATACCAGGCTATAATATTGTTACACATCATAGTGGCGCAATACAAGAAACACAAGGAAGAACATTTCAGTCCAGACACACCCAGTCACATTCCTACAAAGAGAAAAGTTGAGTATTTCTTATTTAACAGAATGTTTCCTAAGAAATATTAGTGATCAATAATAGAAAACTACTTGTTTCTATGGTCAACATTATGCATTCATATAATAAAAGGAAAACAGACAAACTGACTTGATATCTTTTTGGGAGTATACTTCTGTGAAATGTCAAAAATATACAGGTACTTCAATTGTGAACAGTACCTCAGAGTCACTGTTGTTGACGTTCAGTAACACTATCAAGTGTTTTTTTTACTTTAAACACTGATGATGCCATTCTCAGAATGACCGATGGAAAGTAATTCCTAAAGTTTTGAAAAACATTTCACAATTTCCTCACAGCCTTTCACCATAACAGAAACAAAACCCATAAGTTTTGAGGTCACACAGAAATTGATCTTTAATTCAGAGGCTAAAAGTTACAGAATAACAGAAAGGAGTGGATGTGATTAGTAGGTACTACAGTTCTCCAACACCTGTTCTCCAAAATGTGTTTAAAACTCTTTTCCGAGAGGACTACATGTACTGTACCAAATTCATTTCAGAAATTCTAACAATTTCTCTCCCTTTTCCTTTGGTTACAATTCCATTTCAGATGTTTTTTTTCCCCCATAACTTCAGATTTTGTTTTAAATTAGATTTATTTTGTAGACTTTTCCAAATAACAGCTGTCTTGCCTTAAACAATTTAAATCACCCATCTATAGTGGCAACAGTTAAAACCCCATGCCATGTGACCTGACCAGGGAGCCTGTGGGATATGCCTGTCAGAATGGGCTCAGTGTTTTCCAATGACGAACTGAAAGCTGCTGTTCAGGAACAAGTGCTAAGCTTCCTTCAAATCACTGTTTAGTGTAATGTATTTCAAAACAGACCACTTGATCATCTTAGAGAAGACTATCTGTAAAGAACATCATGATATTGTAAACTGCAATCTTTTCATAAAAATAAACGATTTTATATTATAAAAGTATATTGTGTAGTACACAAAGAACCTAATAACTGCCCCAGGCACCCTTTGTCTTTGATACCCGAACAAGCCATTTTCTACTAGCTTTTAAGATAAGATCACTTTATTAGCAATATACTGTACAATTTCTATTAGGAATTTGTCTTTTTGCATACCCCAACTTGCTCTCCATGAGACACAGACAGGGAGAGAAGCTTGGGGTCAGAGTGCAGGGTCAGCCATTTATACAGCACTCCTGGAGCAGTTGGGGATAAGGGCCTTGCGTAGGGGCCCAACAGAGTAGGATTCCTCTGCCGGCCACGGGATACAAACCAGCAACCTTCAGCCACAGGCGCAGATCCTTAGCCACTGCACCACCCATTTAACATTTGATGTACTGTTTATTTGCATTCCCATAGTAAACTCCAAGTCGTATAGAATGTAAATACATTAAGATACATCATACACAGACAACATAATATGAATAATACATAACTTAAATAATTCATATCTCACAAAATGAATAAATTAGACTATGATAAAATGAAGGAATAAAACAACATTACCTCATCTTTCCTGAACTTAACACAAATACATCCCATAGACAAAACTATCCAAAGTCCGTGTCACTTGTCAACATAACATTAATCTAGAGTAAACTGTCAACTTGTGTAAAATAATCTTTCACATCATAACACAAACAAAAAAGGGTGGACAAGAAGCATATTTGTTGAGTCACCATTCATTTATAAAAATGCCCTTGCGACATGTCTGCCTGACCTGCAGAACAGGTTTGGAAATTCCTTTTGATCCGATTTTAAAGAAACAGAAACTTCCTTTCATGTCTAAAAAATGTGACATTATAAACTCAGCAAGATCAGATGCATGACATATATGCCGGAGGAGATGCAAAAGAAAATACAAGGAACCTGCCACTGTCACTAAAGTTTTAATAAACATCATCCAGCTGCCACTTCCATCACTGGGAGAAAGTAGATCAGTAGTGAAAACACTTGTATAGAATTAAAAAGTTATCATACAAGGCTAAAAAATATTCCACAGTGACCACATCAACACTCATCTTTATTATCTTTGGAGAACGTCTGCTCACACAAAAGTATTCAAATGCTTCAATGGGGGACATACTATTACAGTACACTGTATGCAGTTGTCAACATAAAACAAAATTAGGGCTTTTTTGGAGATGCACTGTGTTACCTCTGGAACAGCAACTCTAAGAAAATTGGCAAAACAGTCTGGCTTTTCTAAACAAACAGCTTCTTCAGAGACATGATGCAGCAAAACGTGATACTTCTTTAATGGAAATAATAAAGTGACATGATTCCCTCTGATGTTAATTTTTCAAAAGATGAGAAACGGGTTTCTCTTCAATACACTGCTCATCTGTCAATGTTTATACATGAAGAATTTTCTCAGCAACACTTGGGGTCTCTTTGGTTAAAACTATGAGCGAATAATTGCTTTTTCACTAAAACATTCTTAATAAATTACATCAAGCTGTTATATTTGAATAAAGTATGTTTTAGCCACTTATTTTTCAGTGCAAATAAAAACTATAAAAATACCTCTTCTGTGAGAGTAATGTTTCGTACAGATTGCAATTGCAACTGGTAATTGTTTTTTGTCTAAACTTTTTATCCCTATAATGAAATGATCACCATTCTAAGGGCAATTTCACCCCTGTTTTTGTAGATTTCAGTTTACCACAGAACAAACAATTCCACTTGCTAATTGCCTTAATCTAAAATCAATTGTCAGGGATTAGATATCAAACAGGTACAGATTAAAATATAGTACTTCATTAGATTAAACTATAGTACTTCAGTAGTTCAAGTAGGTTGCTGCGTCGGCATGCGTAGGCTGCAAAGGAAAAAGTAAAGGTTTATTCCATGCTGAAAAGGGAAGAAAAGAAACAACATTTTGGCTGTGGATCTTTCTTCAGGTATATGACACCCTGTGTTTCTTGTGTTTCTTTTCAGCATGGAATAAACCTTTACTTGTTTCTCTATTATCCTTTAGGGCACGTTTGCTCACCAGCATTCACATACAGATTTACTCTTCTCTGTTATCCTTGTCAATTTTACTCAGTGACAATAAGGCATACTGTAGATGTCTAGAAATGGCAGGTAGCCACATGTTTGAAAGGTTAAGCTACCTGTCTGAGTCACAAGCAAATTTCTCTCTTCCTGGAATCCCCAGGACCTGTATCAGGTGGATGAGTCATGGATATTGCCAAGCCTACCATTTCCACTAGAAGACTGCAGTGCAAAAAGCTCTGGTTTTAACCACCTGAAGAGCACAACTCTTGACTGTAACTGCGACCACCAGGCAACGGGACGGATCTACAGAGAGCGATGAGGCTCTCACACACGACTCACTTTTAAGCATTTCCTTGAATCCAATACCTTTGGTCATTTTGCATGAGAGCATATCATAGTTTAAATTTTAACTACATTAAATAGTTTTTGTAAATGTCAAAATAACTTATGACACCTAAGAAATATTACCTGCTTTTCTTCCACAGCTATAAAGCTTAAAGTACATTGCGTATATTCTGGTGAGAGCTTCTCAGAGAGAGGTTAGCATAAGAAGTACTACACTGTATGTTCACCCCTCTCATTTTCTTTAACTTACCACAGCTGCTGAAACAGCTAACACGGCTTGAGATAGTACTACACTACAGCTCCGTTCCCGAGTCATCAGTGGAATTTTATACTGACTGACAACCATTTTGTATTAGTAATAATAGCCTTCTTCTCATCTCTCCACATGTGATCTCAGAGACACTGCACTAAGAAACTCATGTGATTTACCGAAAAGGCCCATTTGTCTTATTGAGAGCATAATGTTGGTTTCTGAGAGTGCACTGATGCATCTCTCATTGCAGAAGGCAGATCTCCAAATTGATAATCTGTTTTCTTTATTATTCTAGCAGAGACATCAAAATCTCCCCAGGACTGTAGCAGAAAACAATATTGGTTTGGTGGTTCTAAGCTATAATAGACGGTAACATCTCACAATTTAATGTAAGCAGTAGAAGTTTCCTGTATTACTTTCAGAATAAAAAGGATTAACTACGATACAGTACATTATAATTTGCGGACTTGTAAACCACATAGGATAAAGTGTTCATTACTGGCCAAAAAAAAAAATCTTTTTACTTTGCTTTCAGTTTGCTCTCTCAGTCAGGGTATAAAATTACTACTCCTTAAGAATGTAATCAGGGAGTACCAAAGAAAAATCTTCAGGAAATGAGCTTATAAAAATCACATGAAATTGAAATGCTGAGTGGCGTGAACGAAACCAGACTTCAAGAGTACATAAGAACTTTAAAAGGGTACAATTTTGTCCCCATCAAGTTTATTATAGGGCAGCGCCGAAGTGGCAAAATTTAGCTAGAACCAGAAGCATGCAGATATTCTAATTATTGTGATTACAGACTCATGTAAAGTATGAGCACTTTCATCTGGTTAGGTTCGATGAGAGAGAAGCAACCCTTGGAAAGGCAGCTCCAGGACCCTTGGCACTAGTGCTCCACACTAACCTGGAGGATCTGCTGCTCCAGCTGAGAGTTGGCTTTGCACAGCTCCATGAGGTGTCTCAGCAGATGCTTGGTGCTTTCCGTCTTCCCTGCGCCACTCTCGCCACTGAGGACAGGACGAAAAACAAGTACTGTGAGTTCACAGCAGGAGCTGGAGAAGTCCTTTAAAAAGAAGTCACTTTTTATGTACAGGCCAGGACATGAAGAATGAGCTGGCGTGATCCCTCAGCAAATCAATGACATTCGAGAATATGCATAATTTTATTTGAAACGTACTGATTAGACACAGTCTCCTAAAAGTAAAGATACAGAAAAATTAAAGGTACAATGATGGTCACATTATTAACAATCCATAACATATGATTTAAATAAAGTGGGTATAAAAAGTAGTTCTCTAACATATAGCTTAGTCCACCATCATACAAGAGTGCCAGAAGTCTTTGCTTCAGTAGAACAATTCGCTTTTAACAATTTAACCCATTTTTATACTGATAAGTGGATTAAAAAAATACTGTGTAAGAAGTCTGGTCAACCTTTAGATACTGTATACGTCTGATAATTTATTAAAAAATTAAAATTGATTCAGAAGCAAACAAAAAATATATACTGTATATATTTGTTTAAATATAAACTATGGAAAACATAGACTGAACTTGATTCCATCTGTCTGGTAGGTGTGTTTTTTGTATTTGAAAACTGTACATGAATAACAAAATGCAATAGTTTACAAAAAAACATGGAACAATTTACCAAGACATTCAAATTTAATGGAAAGAAATCAAGCTAGCACCACATATTTTACATGCCTATAAGAGCCTTCTCTATCCTAGCAAACATTTAAAAGCAAATCTACTGATTTGCTTAAGAGATAAGACTTGCAAATGTTTAAAATGTTAATATTAAATGCAAATTGTTTTCTTTCATGATGTCTGCATTTCTTTGAGTGAGTAATAGATCCAAGGGACTTATTATCTGTAATCTGACAATCCTTCAATTATTTGTATTGTCTGAGCAGCCAGTACTTTTCCTCTCCACTATAAGCAGTGGATTTTTTTTTTTAAAGTCTGGACTTGCTTTTATTTTCCATTTGGATAACTGGGTACAAGGATACAATTCCAAACGTATATAAATAACATCAAATAACATTATATGTATTAGGAAACATTAAACAATGGTTTAAAAGGCTTGCAACTGGCAGTGCCTTGCTGGTGTTGGTGTAGGTATAAACTGTACACTATTATCAGGACAGGATAAATGTCTTTAAAATTATTTTCTAGACATAATTTGCAGTATACAAGAAAAACAATATAAAATGATTAAGAGCAAACATTTTTCAACAGTCCATTCCACGTATGCATTGAACCCACATTGTTATAATGGATAAATACTGTTCTGTTATGCTATTTAGAGTCAACGAGGAGATCTCCGTCAGGCATCTTTGCAATTTGTCAGTGTTCTTAAGGAGGTATAACCTGCAATGCAATGGACCACTAAAACCATTTCTAACTAAATTCCAGATACTTCAAAACAGTACCGATTAGACAAGGTATTCCATGCATATAGGATTCATCAGGCACACTGCTCTATACTATAAGAGTGTATATGGCCAAGTATTTTAAGCCATATGCTGGAAGACATTGACAGAGGAATATGCTGATTTTCTGCATGTTGCTCAAAAGCGCAAAATGAAGTTGAGAGAATTATGCTTATTTCTTGAAAAATATGCTAAGAATCAGAAGAAGCGCAAGTGCAATGAATTCACAGTCAGAAAAATGAAAGATTACAGCGCATGCACTAAAAACATATGAACAAGCATGTACTAGATAAATTCATTAAGCTGATCAACAACTGGACTGGCCAACAGTCTAATGTGATAGACTAGCAGTCCGTGTGGCCATCAGCCTGTTTTGCACCAGATTACAAATACAGATCAGTTCTTGTGGGATTCTGTCCCATTGCTCTCACAGAGGGACAGATTTGACGAGCTGTTGAAAGACATTTGCATTGCTTTCAACTTGGCTGTGCATTTGCTCAACAGTTTACACTTTTTATACATGTTGTCTAGGTGACTACCGTACTGAGTTAAAAAAAACAAACTATTACCAACATGAAATATCATTATGTTAATTGTACTGAAATGTCAAAATAAGAACAATGAGTAATATCATTTAATACTAGACTTTAGGAAAAAAGTCATAAGCTTTTACAATTAATGGGAACTTATTTTACTTTATGCAAAATATCCTATTACAAACCATTTTTGAGGGTGAATTGCCTTTGTGAACTGAGGGATGGATCTGTTATGAATTGGTTAACTGCAGGATTGAAATATATACAGTATATATATTAAATGGACTCTAGGGTTACACCATTGGTTGGATATTCCATGTGAGGGAATGATGACACTAAAAGGTTCTGTGATAAGTGAGTTTTCCTTGTTGTATAATTAGCAGAGTTTTACTTTATTTGCCTTTTTGCCAATTTCTGTGCCTGGCTAAGTTACAGCGCATGACAAAAAATAAAACACAGAAATCTCATAGCAGAACACTATTTGGAGTATTTATATAAAATATATACAACAAATGTACTAGTGCTAGATCTTTGGAAAGCAACCTGTTGTGTACATATCCAGGATGTCTGCTTTCCATTCACTTCTAGGAAAAGACAGAAATTTCTTCTGTTCTCTTGAACCACACATTTTCTTTTCATCAATAACAATCACAAAGACCTCATTACCATGTTCAAAAATCTTGTTTTGAGATCATTATTAAATAAAAGACCCAGTTTCTGAGAGAAGTCATGGTTCAGTCACTAGGTTTGCTCCAAAATTGAGACATTTGGAAGAAGTTGCAGTTTTCATGCAGACACATCCCTGTCATCCCTTCACATCACCAAACAGAAGCCATCTGACTGGACAGAGGTAAAACACTGCAGTGGGCACCGTGTATGCAGATCTTATGCAGAAACACCTGCTTCAGGAGTTGGCTTTGCTGGCTCAGGCATTTTGCAGATCGAATCTCTGACCACAAATGACACGCAGGCTGGAAGGGACAGATTGGTTTGGCATGCCAGATGCAGCCCGCAGGCCATGTGTTAGATAACTGTTCTATAAATGCCTGCCTGTTATAAGTGAAACCTCATTTCAGTGAAAATAGATCATTTGACGAGATGAGGTTAACTATATTTGTACATGTCTTCCTCCTGCCACCCAAGGCAGAATGGGTTTTTTGTGCCAACTCTACATTTAGTAAGTTATACAGTAGGGTCTTGAGAAGTACGTTCATGAGGGTTCAGTGCATCCTTATACTTTCATATAATGGCAGTACATGGACAGTACCTAGTACGTACGGTATGGTTAAAAGACAGACATAATCCTCCCTTATATGATAATTACATTATCAATACGTGGCTTTAAGTTAATTAAAATAACACTGATCAGCTAACACAAACCAGAGTAATCACAAACTTATACAGTACCAATCGGCTAAAATAAACAGCATGAATTATTCCTCTGTGTGTAGCCAATGCCTGCACTTTCTGACTATCTTCACAGTTGATACCCTGCTCTGTGATCAGCACACCCCACTGTAATGAAAAGGTCAATAAACCTGTCAGTTAGTTTGTAAAGTTGTCTCCAGCCTGTCATTCCCACACTGTTGTCACAGAACCGGAAGCATTCGTTACAATAAAAAGACAAGATCAAGTTGAGATATGGATGCTGGCTAGTGGGTAATTCTGCAGGGGGGCAGTGAGAGGTTCACTCATGTGTTAGACCTGTCTCATGATCCTAGTGTATTGCATGGCATGTCTGAAAGTTGCATTCAAAGCCTTTGGCTTGGTTTCATCCCACTCTGTCCTTCTTCCATCCAAAACTCCATCAGCCAGACAGAATTGCAAGTAAACAAATGTAAATTCATAGATGTAGACATCACCGTACTGTACTGTCCAGAAACCCAGGCCTCCTTTCTAAGCCTTTTTGTGTTCCATCAATTAACTACCTGAGGTACTAAACGGCCAATACACAACATACAGTATTCACATGCAATATTGCAATACTTCATTTTGTAGCCCTAGAATTCTCATTTGTCACCAATAATGAACTCTCTACAAAGAAACAATTTTGGATTGCTTTTTTGTTCCATCTTTGAAACAATGAAGGGCATTAATCTGCCACTTTTTTTAGGATACTCAAGATAAGTAACCGTGGATGGGTAATAAAGCTTCTTTTGTGCCCCTAAAGAGAAAATAACTATGAAAATATGATGTGTGCAATACTTTTTAGACAAACCTTAAAAAGACTCCATTTTAAATAGCCTGTTCTATAGTTAAAAGAAACACTGAAAACATTCTGCTATAGTTGATTAATAATTACAGAACAATTCAATTTTTTCCCCATTAAATCTTACATCTCGAGTATCAAAACTCAGATTTCCAGTTCACTGAACATCCGCATGCAAAACTCACACAATCAGCCACCTTACACAAATTACATATTGCTCGTCTTTTAAAAATTCAGTTACATTACACAGACTGTGCTAGATATTTGGCTAAGCAGTAACACTTTGCTAGCAAAAAAAAAAATCTGCTGCTTGATCAGCATATATGACAAGACTTGGATTTTCACAACTAATGCTAAAGAAAATCCATCACAAATAATGACTAAACCAACAAATTGCAGTGTTTGTAAGTTTAAAACAAATGACCAGACTGCTGCAAAAAGACCTCACAAAAAAAACCTGACAAATATACAGATGTATTCCAAATATGCATATTTTAACGATATCTTACAAGTGTCTTTTTTATATACTTTTAAAAGAGATGTATTCCCCAAGCCTGCTTATTGTATATTCCCAAGCCTGGGGTTTTGTTGCCCTTTTCTGAATCGCAGAACTTGGCACTGCGCGACCTGGTAATTCTGTCTATGTTGTGGTGCAAATTGGAGGTTTTACAAGTTACTGTGTATATTTGACTTTTATTGCGGTTTGAAATGCACTCATCAATGTGGAATCTTTCTAATCACAAAATACAAAAATAGCGTTGCAGTTCCCCTTTAATATGTTAAAAAAATGACCTGGACATTTTAGTAGAATTACAGGTGGAAAGGCA